TGCATGGGGGCTTCTCTTGTTGCAGAGCACAGACTCTAGGCGAGGAACTTCAGTAGTTGCGGTTCCCGGGCTCTAGAGCACAGGCTCAATTGTTGTGGTACATGGGCTTAGGTGCCCCATGGCATGTGGAATCTTCCTGGAAAAGGGATCCAACCCATGTCTCCTGCACTGGCAGGTGGAATCTTTACCACTGAGCGAACGGGGAAGGCCCCTCCATTTTATATACATATATACATATGTTAATCCCAAACTCCTAATTTATCCCTCTCCATCCCAGCATTTTGCTTTTTTGCTTAGGGCATTCTTGAGCTTTAAGTTTCAGCTCATTTATCAGTTATCATGTGAAATCTCTTTGATTTTTCCAGACAGAATCAATCACCTTTCAATCCTTCCTTCCTCCCTTTCTTCTTTCCTTCCTCTTTTTCTTTTTTTTGAAGAAAAATTTCTTCTATGGTTCTAGCTAGTTTTATTGTAATGTGAAACTTGCTATAATTTTATTTGATAATTTTTACTACTACCACATTCAGATGTGTATCATTCAGAATCCTTGCAGGAAACAGACTGCATACTCAAATGGGGAATTGAGAAGCATAGAATGAAAGGAATGTTCATAAAGGTGTGAACAGGATAATGGAGTATCTACAAGTGTTTTGAAGTATTCAGAGTCTGTCTTCAGAGGGGAGACACCAGAGGTGCTAACCCCTAGACCTGAAGGGCAAGGGAAGAAAGGGTTACAAGAACCCAAGAGAGGTGTAACTGGACCTAGTTGAAGGAGAGGGCCTTCCTTCAAGAGGGTTGTGGCTTCTGTTAGCCCCATGAGTGAGTCCAGGAGAGACAACAGAAGAACTGCCAATTCAATCCATGAAATCATCAGAAATAATACATTGGTGTTGTTTTAAACCACCAAGTTTTGATATACTTTGTTATGCAACAATAGATAACTGATATATCAGCAAGGAGGTGAACCCATAACTATTTCTCCACCAAAACTGTGAGAAACCAAGATCTGTGAAATGGACCCCATCATTTCAATGCAAACATATTAATAGTAAAAACATTTTCATTTTCTTCAAGATTCCTGATGTGGGCCATTTTTAAAAAGTCTTTATTGAATTTGTTACAATGTTTCTGTTTTATGTTTTGGTTTTTGGCCTCAAGGCATGTGGGATCTTAGCTCCCCAACCAGGGATCAAACCAGCACCTCCTGAATTGGAAGGCAAAGTCTTAACCACTAGACTGCAGGGAAGTCCCTTCACTTTTCATAGAGATACTTAAAACAGTTTTCTGGGAGGAATTCATTTTATCTCAGCTGTTTGAAACAGAGCAATGTATGATGCTGTCTCTGGAAATTTTATGCTAAGCTTATTTATTGAACATTAGGGTAGTTTGCTTCCTTCATTTTACCCTTTATTGGTGATTTTTGCATATCTGTGATCTTTATGAAGTAACCATTTATGCCCTCCCTTTATGGCGATTGATATTTAACAAATATTTTGGTCTCAAGATACGCAGGTCTATTAGAATGGCTCATTAAACATTTGTTCCTATTCTCTTTTGCTTTCCTTTGCAAAGAGTGGAAAACAAAATGCTAAACAAAATTTCCTGGCTCTCTTGTAGGTAGAGATGGCCATATGATACAGTTCTGTTCAAGATGTAGGAGAAAATTTTCCATGAGATCTTCTTTCAGCATAAAAAGAAAAAAAAAAAAAAACCTCACAAGAGAAAGTCCTTTGTTTTAGTCCTTTTGCCTTCTTCTCGACTGAAAACAAGATAGTTCAAGGATGTCTTTCTTTTTTTTTTTTAAGGATGTCTTAATAAAGAGACTATTTACAAAGGTGCAGGCGAAGGGGATAGAGCAGCCCCCAGGTGAGTATCAGAGAAGCTCTTAACTACTGTAGTCCTGAAGGGTGGGGGAGGCAATTACTGGAAATAGAACATGAGAGCTGCCTGTGTTGGGGTAAGGGGAGTGCTTTGAGAGGTGCTGTGACCTTCATGGTGGGAACAGACCATCTCTTCCTTCCGTTCTGTGTGTACTCCTCTTTGGCTGAAGCCCCCTGGGATCCAAGAATCAAGGTCTACCTTTTAGACACAAATCTGGGTGGAAAACGGTAGAGAGTTAACCTGGAAAGACGAGCAATAAAAAAGGCATCTATTACTTACCTTTATATACCTAGTGTGCAAGACATGGTAAGAGTGCTTGATACAAAGGAAGAGATGAATAAAATTTTATTGAATTGAATCCAGTTTTTTATTTTATCCAACAGTGCTTAAAACCTAATCTGGGACTACTGCCAACCTCATTCAGGCCCAATAATCCAACATAAAATTGCTGTTCTACAAGGATCTTCCTTTACCCAACAGTAAAGGTTCTTTTCTGAGACCAGATTAAAAAGAGCTCTTTGAAATAACTTTTGTAGATCTGGATATTTTTAAGCACGAGATGGTTCTATAGTTTTATAAAGCCTGTCCTCTAGTACAATCTAACTTCTACACACTCACCTCATCAGGGTCTTCCAGAAGAAATAACTTTTGTATGCTACCTGTATGACTGTCTCAGTTTCTACATCTGTAAGAGAACAGTAATAACAGCTACCCATTACTCAAGTCTCCCTGCTTCCTCAGTGGTAAAGAATCCACCTGCCAATGCAGGAGATGCAGGTTTGATCCCTGGGTCAGGAAGATTCCCTGGAAAAGGAAATGGCAATCCCTCCAGTATTTTCATCTGGGAAATCTCATAGACAGAGGAGTCTGGCTGGCTGCAGTCCATGAGGTCTCAAAAGACCTGGACATGACTTACTAACTAAACAACAGCAACAACTCAAGTCACGGGCACAAATGTCACCTCCTCAGGCTTTCTAGGATACATAAAAAGAGAGTATGGGGCTTACCTAGTGGCTCATTGGTAAAGAATTTGCCTGCCAATGCAGGAGACACAGGTTCTATCCCTGGTCTGGGTAGATCCCACATGTCACAGAGCAACTAAGCCTGTGAATCACAATTATTGAGCCTGTGCTCTAGAGCCTGGGAACCACAACTACTGAGCTCACATGCCTAGAGCCTGTACTCCAAAACAAGAGAAGCCACTGCAATGAGAAGCCCAAGCAATGCAACTAGAGAGTAGCCCCTGCTCTCTGCAAAGAGAGAAATGCCCAATCAGCAACAACGACCCAGCACAGCCAAAAAAAATAAATACATAAAATTATTTTAAAAAGAGAGGAAAAAAATAAAAAGAGAGGAATAACACCCCAAGTTACTTTCTAGCTCACTAATGTCTTATTTATTTTTTCTCATTGCAGTTATTACTTTTCAAATAGTAACTTATTTACTGTTTACTTGTAGATTGTTGGTCTTCTCCCAAAAGAATACTTGATCCTTGTAAGCAAAGACCTTGTCTGTATTGTTCACCGCTGTATTCTAAGCACCTGGAAGGGTGACCGGGACATGGTGGTTGTTTGATAAATATTTGTTGACGAATGCATGAACAATGCCAATTAACAACCTCAGGCTGTGGTGAATATTAAATAAGATGACAGTGCAATGCTCCTGGCATAAAGTAAAACTCTCTCTAAATTTAGGTGTTTTCTTTCCTCTTTTTCTTCCATCACCTTCTGTATCCACACCTTCGGCAAGCAAGTGAGCTTAACCTCAGCCTCAAAACATACCCCAAATTCTCTGAATGAAATTCATTCATCACTATCACTCTAGTCAAGCCACTCTCACCCCTTACATGGTCTACAAATAACAGTCTACAGGCTGATCTCCCTGTTTGTTCCACTTGCTCCTGTTTCTCTCAAACCCCAATCCATGCTCCACAGTCAGAAAGATCTTTTAGAAACACAATTCAGATCATGTCATGCCCCAATTTACTTAATAACACCATCAACAGCCATCACCAGCAGCTTTCTAGGTGTTTAGAATTAGCCCAAACTACTTTACATGGGCTAACCTGCGATTTTCTTAGGCTTCATCTACTTTAGGCTAACTGGCTTTCTCTCTCTCTTTTCTGGATTTTAACAAACTTATTTCCATCCTAGTGCTGGTGTATTCTTCTGTCTGAGTCTTTAGCTAGCTGGCTCCTTACTGTCATTTGAACTTCAGCTTAAATGGGGCTTCTTTTGAAATGAAAAGTCACTAATTTGTGTCACTAATGACTAATCCAGTCATTTCTGATCACAGTCCCCACCCCCTTTATTTTTATTTATTTGGCTGGGCAGGGTCTTAATTGCAGCATGTGGGATCTTAGTATCTTGACCAGGGATTGAACCCCTGCCCTCTGCATTGGGACCAAAGAGTACTCTGCATTGGACCACCTGGAAGTCCCTTGTAACACTACTTTTTTTTGTTGCACTTAATATTACCTAACATTTACTTATGTTTGTTTCTTCCCAACTGAATTTTAAGCTTGTGAACTCACAGACCTTATCTATTGTGTTCATCACTCTATCTTCAAAGATAGAGCAATAACTACAACAATAGTATATGCGTAATAAATATTTGTTGAATAAATGCTTTGATTGTGATAACGATAACAGCTAAAGCTCAGAGGACTTGGCCACAAATTCTAACAATTTTTCAAGGAATAAGAATCGCAGTTCCGAAGTTAGATCCTGGAAGACTACAGAAACCTGACAATAAAAGATCTGGGGCTAAAGTTTGGAGGGGGATATATTACAACTTTGGCCTTTTTTCCCTACCCAAGGACTCCGGAGATCTTGCAGAAGGGAGACCTAGAATCTTTTGACCATAAGTTCTAGCCCAGCCACAACGCTTTACCATCCACGATTCTTTGCAGCCACTATTGCTAGATTGCAAACGCGCAAACACCTCTAGGACCCCGGGTTCCTTTCTGTTTCTTTATGAATGAACCGGGCCTAGTGTGCGCATGCGCAACTCCTTTTTCTCCCGCTCCACGTGAGGCCCGCCCTTCCCTCCTGCTAACGGCTCCGCCCCTATCCTTTCTAATGGACCAATGGCGAGCGGCCTGGGGGGCGGAGCCCTGAGCAGCGCGGCAGTGTAGTTCCCCGGTCGCCCGGCTCCCTCGCCTTAGTCTTGCTGTGTTGTGATCACGTGGCCAGCTCCGGGCGCGGCGCTTGTTTTGGTTTCCCTCTAGCTTGCCCCTGGCAGCTTCGGAGTGAGCGACTTTCCTGTGCCGGTTGCCACACCTGCCTGCACTGCGACTTTCTCTTCTTGGGGCTCTCTCAGCTCCAAGTTCTGCAAGCCCCTCGGGGCCGGCTCCTGCCATGCCGTTAGTTCGCTACAGGAAGGTGGTCATCCTCGGATACCGTTCTGTAGGTGAGTCTCCGTCTAGGGCAGAGCACCGATGCACCGCGGCTTTGTGGCCAGAGGAGGCGCACTGCCGCGGGAAGGCGACCCAGGGAGAAATGGTGGCATCCTTAGAACCAGCTGGTAGAGCGAGGACTGAAAGGTTGGAGTTCGAAAGGCTGGGGTGGTGGTAGTGTTCAAGGCGGCAGGAAGCTGGAGCATGGAAGAGTTAACATGGGCTCACTGCTTGAACACCACAGTGGTCCTTAGCGTTCGTTACTCTGAGGGGTGGAGGTGGGGGCAGGATTTGATGGCGGGGGCGCGGTCTGGGTGGGGCAAGTCTCAGGTGTCGGATGCGAGGCTGACTGAATCCTGGGGAATCCGGATCTTCCCAGGAATGGGGTGGGGAAAGACAGCAGGAAAGGCTTCCTGCGTCGCTACTGTATGCATCCGGTGGCCAAGGTGCAGAGACCTGGGGCGAAAAGAGGATGAAGGAGTCTAAGGGAAAGCATTGCATGGGGCATTCACAGGCTAGGATGCTAATTCGGGGTTTCCTTTAGTCCAGGGCTACAGCCCGAAAGGACAGAGGAAATGAATGTGGATGGGTGATTTGGCTACAATTACCTCTGCTTCCCACAGGGAAGACATCTTTAGCACATCAGTTTGTGGAGGGCGAGTTCCTGGAAGACTATGATCCTACCGTGGAGAATAGTGAGTAAATTTCTCCCCTTGGGGTGGGGTAGGGAGGGCTTGGGTGCCCCACCCAAGGCCACACTTTGGGATTTTCCTGGTGCCAAAGGGATGATTTAATTAGATATTTAATCTCTTCTCTATCAGTCCTGTTCTGTGAGTGGAGCTAGATTGTGCATTTTCCAAGATACTGAGTCCAGGATAGTGCATGTGTAGACAATAAGAAGCCTAACATTGTATCTTAAGTTTCCTGGAGAGCTCCTTGAACCTGGCCCATCTGTGTTAATATATAGGGACACAGATTGCTCACCCTACAAGGCACCTCACAGTCAAGTTTTCTTTTCTTTTCAGCTTACAGCAAGATAGTGACTGTTGGCAAAGATGAGTTTCACCTACACCTGGTGGATACAGCAGGGCAGGTACCAGTTTGGGGTAGGGTGTCTAAATGTGGCAGTTCAGTCCTGGGAGATGAAGTCTGGTAGCCTCTGAGGCTCATCTGTAAAGCAGTATGAAAAGGAAGGCATTTTAGCAGTATTTCAGTGTGCAGTACTATTTGGAGCTACTCTATAAATAACTTGTTGGATAGAAGTGACTGGAGTGCGGAGTGCCACAGGGAGGGTCCCCAGGATGCAGCCCACCAAACTTGGCCATCTGAGTCTTGTGAATCAAGGTATTGATGTTTCTGTTTCTCGTCAGGATGAGTACAGCATTCTGCCCTATTCATTCATCATTGGGGTCCATGGTTATGTGCTTGTGTATTCTGTCACCTCTCTGCATAGGTAAGTGACCAAGGTTGAGAGTGGGGCACTTGGGAGGACCTGAGGGCTGTCCCAGAATAAAACTGTAAGATTCTTTTCTTGTGTTTAAAGCTTCCAAGTCATTGAGAGTCTGTACCAAAAGCTACATGAAGGCCACGGGAAAACCCGGTATGTGGCATGGGGGATAAAGACATAGTGTGGACACCAGGCAAGAGGGAGGGCAGAGGGGGGTATTGATCCAAATTAAGGAGGAAGCTGGGACGTGGATCCTATCTGGTTTGATGGGGACTTGTCCAGCTATGATGTGAAGGAGGTGGGGTCCATGGGGGAAGAGAGGGAATTCTGTTGTAACTGCTGTTTCCTCCCAGGTTGCCGGTGGTGCTGGTGGGAAACAAGGCCGATCTCTCTCCAGACAGGTATGGAAAACTCTGTAGCTTAAGGCAAAGGAAAGTGAGCTGGTCTAGGAATAAGTCAGGCTCTTGTCCTGGCTCTGCCACTGATTTGAACCAGTCGTTTTACCTCTTCGTTTCTAACTTGGAGATTAAGACAAAATGATCCTTCTATCTCAAAGGCTATAATTTCATATTTCAAGCCTTAGACCTAGGCTCCTTTGTTTTTTTGTATTTTCTTCTTCCCCAAATCTTCTCCCAAACCTTGGAATGAGATGAGTCAGAGGAAGTCTGGTTTCTGTAAAGATTTTTCAGAGAACATGGGTCCCACTGCTATTCTTCATTTTCATGTCCTGAATTTGCTTCTAGGGAGGTCCAGGCTGTTGAGGGGAAGAAGCTGGCAGCATCCTGGGGTGCAACATTTATGGAGTCATCTGCTCGAAATAATCAGGTACTGGGCCTGAAGAGAAGGTGGTGGGGGTAGCAGTGTTTTTCTTTTCATGCCACTGCTTGGTGGTGGGGATGGTGGGGGAGTGGGGCATTCACCTGAGAGTTGGGTGGTATTGGCAGTGAACTCAACCAGTTTTTTTTGCCCTGAATGCTTATCCCTTGCAGCTGACTCAAGGCATTTTCACCAAAGTCATCCAGGAGATTGCCCGGGTGGAGAATTCATATGGGCAAGAGCGCCGCTGCCATCTCATGTGAGCCCGGAGATGAGCCCTTGAGCAAGGGGCAGCTGCCTCGATTCTGCCCCTGGTACTTTCCAAGCTCCAGTGGGGGCTGGTGGGGGCACCCTCAGGACTTCACGGGTTTGTTTGGTTGCCAGCTGTGTCCCTGACCCTCTAGGTACACAGTGAGGTACCCTCATGTTTGCACACTTACCCAGGCTCCAGTGGCCTGGTTGTCCATGTTTACAAAGAGGCAAGGATGTCTCATGGGCACTGTCCTCTAGCTCTGTTTTTGCTAAATAAATGAACTGTGATAACCTATGGGGTTGGGATATGAGTCCTGGGCATTGTTTATTCAGGACCCAGTCTCCTCTGTAGGTTCTGGGTGTTGGCTGGGTGAGGGGAGCTGGGGACTCCTGAAGCGGAGCTGGCTCCCAGGAGTGTAAATATGCAAATGTAATACAATGTAAATATGCAAATAAACTGAGAAATCTTTTTTTAATTGACTTCTCTGTGTCTGGGGAGCACTCAGGGCCAGTATCTTCTTTTCTCAGGAGTGATGGATGACTGTGGCCTTTGGTAGAGAATCAAGGTTTTTACTACTCCAACCTTGTTCCTATTCCTTACCCCTCATTCATTCAGGACCATCACCCTAAAACTTAACTACTTATCTTTCCGAACTTTCTTTTCTACCCTGTTCTCCCATACAGGTAACCAACTTACTGCCACTCCCATCCAAATTTGCAGGCTCTCACAACCCTCTTAACTACAGAAACACCGCCCTCTAGTGGCCAGCTGCCACATGCCGCCCTCCCTTCCCTCCTGGGGCGTTAGGATTTGTTGGAACTCAGGATACATTTGGGTGGGAAGAAAGACCCTTGTTCCTAACGATCTAAGAACTGTGAAGTAGTGTGAAGGCAGGGACTAAAGTGTTGTGAAGATTTTAACTTTTTAAGAGAGTTGAATAAAGGAAGAAATAATGCCCCGATCAACCCCAACTCCCTGTCCCTCATCTCCCCAAGTACCTTTCATTAAAATGGATGTTCTTTGCTTTTTTCATACCTTTCACACTTTTGAAGTTGTGTTACCTTTTCCAGGTGTCAAAGGCTATTGCTTCTGTTCTTATTGACCCACCACCTCAGTAGGAGGATGGGTTCAGCTAGGAAAGTTTGGTCCTAACTGCCTTTACTCCCACCCCTTCCCCAGCAGCCCTAGGTCCTAAGTGGTCTAATACCTCCTCCAACAACTTATAAGGGTGACCTGAATGGTATCCTTCACAGGAAAGGCATAGAGTTCTGCCAACTGGAAGAGCCTGAGGTCCTCTGTCAATGCACTTAGTTGGGAAAAATGGACAAAATCGGTGTGATTTTTAGCTATGGCCTTGTTATTGCCTGGCTTCAGGCTAGGTGGGGTTATAATTGAGGTTGATGGTCTGTCATGCTTGTTTTTAAAAAAGCCAGCAGCTTTTGCATCTCTGATAGAGAATCTAAAAAGAAATAAGGGCTGCAGAAAAAAAGCATATTCCAAAGAGCAATCTAGGGGCTCAGGAATCTCTTTAGGGTTCTCATCACCCTCTCTCACACTTTATGCACATAGGTCTTTATGCACATCAGACCTGGAATTCTCATTACAGGTATCTATACTATTGTTATGTCCATGAGGTTTGAAATGGAATAACAAATATCAGTTTGTTTTTTTTTTCCTTAGTTCATGTCAGACAGGTAATGTGCCGATGTCGTAACAAGGTTTGGAGGGAGGCACATGTCACGCAGCAGCGTGAACACCCAATCATCCTGCTCATGAACTACAAAAGGATCAAATATCAGGTTTTTGAGAGGCATATCAAACAATCTCATAGCCCGATAGTAGTAAAGAATAGTGGTTAATGGCTGGGTTAAAAGAGTTATTCTTCCACTTAACTGTGTGATGCTGGGAAGACACTTAAACTCTCTGAGCCTCTGAACCTCTCTTAGTTTCTCATTTATTAAGTGTAGTTAAACCTTCCTCATAGGATTGAGGTAAGAATAAAACCAAGGTGATATATGAAATGCTTAGCATAGGTCCTCATACATAATAAACCCTTAAAAGATGGCTATTGTGTATTATTTGAGGTTTTTCTGGTGAGGGTCTGCTTCCCAGCCTCTGAGCGCAGAAAGTAGGGACAGGCCTTCCATTTACAGGTGAGGAGTTACTGTTGGACTTTTTTGCTGAATTAGACCTGAATGGTCAGTGCAGAGCATGTCAGTGTCTGGCTAGCCAAGACATACCTAGTCCTGATCTCTCCTATGACTCTGGCCAGTAGGCATTTAGGTCTGCACTGTCCAATATAAAAGCTACAAGTCACATATTGCTATTTAGTTTTAAAATGTTATAAAATTAAAAGTTCCTCACTTGCACCACTTACTTTTCAAAGTACCCAATAGCTATATGTGACTAAGCCACATGAGTGTATAGGGCATTTCTATCATTGCAGAAAGTTCTATTAGACAGCACTGTAAACCCCTTCCTACAAAACCAGCCCTGCACCTGGTTTGCCTGTGTCTTTCTCCACATATTAAAATAAAAATAAAAAATTTAAAAATATATTTATATACACATACACACATCTCAGGACAAACATGGCCATTGGCTTGCATTACGGCAAGGCTCAACTTCTCACTAGATGTGGTTTGTTGAACAAGTTTATGTATTTTAGTGTCACTCTCTTCATCTGTAATATAGATGTAATTCCACATTAATTCATAGCGAGCTGAGGAATAACTAAGAATATATTAAGTATCCAGCGCATTTGTTAATTTGTCTCCTCCTGTCTATCCCGTGGGTAGAGTTAATGCAGAAAAGTCATTCCAATCCTTTCTCATCCAGACTGATTGGTGAGGGGAGGGGGCGGGGGTCCCTGCAAAATGTTTTGGGATCTTGCGTAGAATAACAGTACTCTGGCCAGGTAGGAAGGCTACAAGTTACATGCCCTCTGTTTACTGAAAACGGGGGGGGGGGGGGGGGGGGAGTGCTGGGGAGCACAGGCCCTGAAGATTCGGAAAGAAGGGCTGGGGCTGGGAGCACCCGGGAAAGGAGGGGAAACTCTGCATTTCTGTTTTGACAGGGGAGGTGATTGTGGAGGCACTAACAGTCCCCTTTCCTCTCGAGGGGGGTTGAGAGCCAGAAGGAACGACTAGGGACTCGTTCCGCTTTCCTTTAGGCCCCCGAACGTGGCAGGAACCCACCCTTTGCAGCGCCAGGCGCCGTGCCTCACTTTCTCCATTTGCGGACTCCAGTTCCCAGGATGCAGAGCAGCGGCCAATCTCCAGGCTCTTCTTCCATCCCCCTCCCGGGGAAGATTGCTCCTGGCTAAGGCAAGGGGCAGTTAAGAGTTTCAGGGACCGGTAACTCCAGCGAAACGGAATTAGAAAGTGCCCAGAGTCCTAGTTTCACTAGCCTGGTGGTAAAGGAGGCAGTTCCAGGGCCGGGGCGAAGAGGAGGGGGGCTTCATTCCCACGTGTCTGCACAGCGGCCGGCCCGGCGCAGTCGGGGTTAACCTGTGGCGGAGGGATCCCGCTGCGTGTGCGTAGAACTGCAGAGTCACAGCCTTTCCTCCGAGAGGACCGGATCCCTCCGCCGCTCCGCTCCAACACAAAATAGGGCCGCGTCTTCTCCTTTCTCCCCTTCTGGAGTGGGGTTCCCCGGGCAAAAGGGCCACCCGGATCTCGCGCCGGAGGCTTCCTGAATCTCCACGACCGCTGCCGAGATCTCGGGCCAGGAAATAGCCCCTTCGCAGGAACCACCCTACCGGCCGAACAGGAGGCGGAGGGGGGGGGGAGGCGGAGCGGCGCCGCGCTGCACTACTTTCCTCTCCGGTTGCAAATGGCTGCCTCGTTCCCCACTTTCCGCTCAGTTTCCTGACCCCCCGGCGCCGGGAGCCGGGGTTGGGCCATGCACCTCTAGGCCCCCCGCGATCACAGCCAGCCGGGGGTCGAGGGGGTGCCGCCGATCAGAGCCGGCCAGGCCGGGGGCGGGGCAGCTCCCGAGGCCAGAGGGGAAGGGAGGCGAGCGCAGGGCCTGGAGCGGCCGGAGGGGAGCGGGCAGAGGGCTCGCACCGCCCGCCCCTTCCTCTTCCTCGCCCACCTACCCTCCTCCCTTCCCCGGGGGGAGCAGAAGGTGGGGGGCTCGAAGCCGCCGAGGAAGAGTGCTCGGGGTCGAGGAGCCCAGCGTTGGGTGTGTGTCAGGTTCAGCCCCGCGGCCCCGCCGGCTCCGTGTCGCCGTAGCTCGCGCGGCCCCGGGGTGCCGGCCCGAGGGGGAGAGGGGCTCGGCGCTCCTGCGAGGGTCTCACGTTCCATCCGGGCCCGGCGCGGCGGCGCGGCATTCCTTCCGGGCTGCTGGGGAGGCGCCTCGACGTTCCATCTGGAGAGCCTCGACGTTCCGCCCGAGCCCGGCGCGGGCGGCCGGGGCGCTGGCCCGGCCCTAGGACTGAGAGGCCGCCCGGCGACGCGGATGCGGAGCCTGCTCGCCCAAGATCAAAGCCACCGGTGCTCTCTTTGTGTCCGCTCGGGATTCGCCGCCCTGGGGCTGTCCATGGAAACCTAAACTGCTGGAACCCGAGGCAGAGAACCCTTCTTCGGCTTCTTGCTTTTTTTTTGAGGGGGGGGAGGGTGGCCACTCCGACCTGGATTTACCGTTCTTGGCCCCCTTAAGCCCCCCCGTGCGGGGGGCGGCTGTGATCGCTCTGGCGGTTGGAGGTCGGGGAGCGGCCCGGGCTCTGGCCATGTTCTCGGATGAGGATTTCTGGATCGCCCTGTGAAGAGGTGAGTGAAGTCCGCCCGGCCAGGGCCCAGAAAGGGTTGGACTGGGGGCATAGCCAGATGGACTATCTTGGCCCGAGCTGGCCTGTAGGTTGGAGAAAGGGGTGCCAGAGCTGAGGAGGGTTCCTTTGGCAGGGTCTGTCAAGGGAACCTGAGCCAGTCGCCAGAGGAGAACTGAGGCCTGGTGTCCTGGGGTGTGCCTCTTTAAAGACTGGGGGGTTCAGGGAACCACGGGAGTTTGGGAACCTGGCCAGAAAGTCTCTCTGCCTGTTTATTTTTGTGTTGGGGGGAGCTCTACTAAACTAGGACCCAAGCCCTGATGCCAGCACCAATCCCAGTCAGCTGCTTCTCCTTCAGGGTTCCTTGTGGGCCTTGGGAATAGAACAACTTGGGAGCGGGGGTAGGGTGCCACTGCCAGGTCAGACTTAGTGCCAGGTTGGACTTTAAGGTTGTTCTTGCTCATCCGGGCACCCAGAGCAGTCTCTGGGAGACTCCAGGAATCCTGATTCCTGCACTAGGCCTTATTTCACTGTGCAAGGGGCAGAGTGTGTGGAAACTTGACTATTGTGATGAAGGAGGTGGCTGGGGCAAGAAGGAGGCGGGGCTGGGGGCAGCTCTGGCCTTGCTGGTCAACTTTAAACTACCCTTGCCTGGCAAAGTGACCCCAACGAGGCCTAGTGCTGTCTTAGCCTGCTTTGCCTTCCCTCCTCTTGGGATGGGCATAATCTCTAGGGGATTATAGAGGAGGCCGTTGAGATTTGCTCCCTGCGAATGTGGGCTGCAAAAAATGGCTTTTGTCTCCCTCTTTCTCTGGGCCTGGTCGCCCATAAGTCTCTGGCCAGTCCTGCAGGGCCCCTCCCAGACCTCGCCAACCTTTTTCAGTCAGGGAATGTTAACTAGTGCTGTGATCCTGTCCCAACCCTGCAGAATAGGGTGGCCTGTACCTCTTTGGAGGAGAAATGACCTGATAGAAACATGTCTGTGAAGCCAGTGTTTTCAGCCCTGGCAGGAGGTGTTAGGGAGAAGGGGTGTGTGTGTGATTGCATGCAGGGTGCAGCGTGAGCCTAATGCCTCTGGACCCTGGGCTGGGACAGCCCCTCTCACAGCTGTCATTGCTGCCCAGCCAGGATTTGGCTGCTGTATTTTGCTCCCTCACTCTGTCCCCTCCAACATACAGAGGCTCGACCACTTTGAGCCTGGTCTTGGAAAGGACAGAATAGGGGTTTGCCCTTGAAAGGTTTTTGGGTGGTAATCCCGAGGCGAGAGGTGGCACAGGGGTGCTGAAATGAGGCTAGCTGTCACCCATGCTGTCTGCCCTTGCCTCCTGTGGAGGGCCTCTCTGGCTGGCTGTCCCTAAAGAACTTCCTTAAGAGACACCACTCCTTTTTGGCTGTAGCTGACCCTAGGATGACCCAGGGATAGTTTGGAGGGTCTCTGGAGCCCCTGTTGCCATTTAGGTTCTTCCCTGGAGGGCCAGCCCAAAATGGGGGTGGGGAGAGGTGTGGTTTGATTCTCAGGCTGGGAACCAGGAAGTCCTGAGTCCTACAGAAGAGCTGTTCACTCAAGGGCCTGCTTCAGCCTTTCACCTCTCCAAACCTCATTTCCCCTTTGGCTGGCATAATGGAGCTAAAGCTTTTGGTCTGGGATGGAGGCAGGGAGGAGAGTGGGTTGAGATGAATCCCTGCTTTCTTCCTTGCTGTCCTGGGCCTCTTCAGCCTGGGATCAAATGGACCCACCACGGTTTCACTCCTTAGATCTGTGTTTTTCTGGGATCCCTAGTTCCCTTGAGGAAGCCTGGCCAGGCCTTAATCCAGTTTAGATCTGGGGAAAAACCCTTGGTGTATATGTGTGTTTCTGGCTGTGAACGCTGGGACAGGGGAACCTGTGGTTTTTACTTATTTAGATCTGTTCAGGGGCCTGACAACTAGCATTCAGCATTGGGGGGCAGGTGCTGGACTGCCGTGTAGGGAAATGGGACTCCTTAGAAGAGCCTCTGGATTCTCTTTGGTCCAGCTTGGAGGACACTCAGCCCTTGGCTTATCTCTCATCTTCCATGATCCCATAAATGAGGCTGCAGCTTTGGAGGATGTTGGTACTGTTTCCCAAGGCTAGGTGAAGGTGGTTTCTCCACCTCCCCAGGCAGAGCCAGCGTTACCAGCTTGAGAGGGCTGCGCTCGGGGGAGGGCAGAGGAATTTGTCCCTCTGGCCTTGTGTGAGGCAGTCCTCCCACCCACTGCGCTATCACTGTTGCTTTTGATTTCTTGCTGTTTGTGACTCCTTTAGCCTCAACTTTGAGAGCACAACAGTTGGAAGCTCTTGGGGGCATTTAGTGGTAAGGTACCACAAAAGTTGCACATGTTTGAGAAACTTTGAAGCCTTCTGGGTGTGGTCAGGCCTTGAATGGCTGAATAGGAAGAGGAGCCTAGCTGGTGCCCTGACCTCCAACCCCTATTTAACATAGGTGGCTTCTGGGGGGCCCGTGAAGTGCCGGAGCATCTTTTCTCTGGGCTGGCTAGATGACCACCCTGCTTTCCTTTTAGGTGTGATTATGTGAGTGACAGGTTTGGGAAAGAGATGATCTGGGAATAAAGGTAACTGGTATCAGGTGATATTTCACATTCCCAATCTAGAATCTAATAGTGTAAAGGGAAAAAAGTAAAAAGTTTCCCTTCCTGTGGCATGTCTCATGAGGCCCATTGCTAGTCTCTGGAAATGGAGTATTAACTCAGGGAAAGAGCACTGATAGTGTGGTTCTTAGGTAATTGATTTATGGATCCTGGGCACCTTTGAGGGTTCCCCCAGTCTCATCTGCCCCATGCGCTCAACCCCAAGTGGCTGACTAGGGTATTTGGTGTGGGGAGAGAGGCTTGTCTTTGCAAAGGTTGCTGTGGTCCTCCTGGTTAAATAAGAGGAGTGAAAAAGGTGAGAGAGAAATTTCTCAAACTTTCATTTAGAGTTCTGTAACCTGCTCCACCTGCTCTGGGAAAATTATACTTTCTATAGTTTCTCTGCTTAAGCCCCTACCCTTCCCACTAAGAGCTGTTGGCACCTGTCCCTTTCTTCCTTCTTCTGTAGGACCCCCTTTCTCTTCCTCAGCTCTGTAATTCTTTACTTCTCTCTTTTTTGTACTGTGTTTATTAGTTTCCTCTGAAATTTAGGAAAATATGCCCAAAAGTGTGGCTCTTGACCTTCTTAGATGTAACTTCAGTGTGTTTCATTTGGCTCTGGGATAGGCAGGCATATCTTAGAAGAGGGGACCGTTACCCCCCACCCCCATAGTGTGTGTGGAAACCCTGCCTGACGGAAGAGGAAGGAAGCTGCTTTGCTGTGTCCTGCCCCCGTTTAGAACAGCTCTAAGTGGCTGTGTGCTTCCTGAGACTACAACTCCCAGCATGCCTAGCGTCAGGCCTGGCTACACATGCTCAGTAACTCTTAAGGCCCACTTCTGTTAACTTCTAGGGACATCTGAGGAGGAAGGGCAGTTGGCGTTGCTAAGGGCAACGACCTGAGGCCTTCAGGCTAGGTGAGAACTTGCGCTCAGTCATGGCAGGGGCCAGGGGGTGGACCTAAACTAGATTTAGATGGTCAGTGGGTGGGAAATGGGGAGTTTCTTCTGTTATGATTGGAATATTCTGGTTAAAACCAGTGGAGGTGGGGGAGATCCATCCATAGCTGGTTATTCGTTCCAGTAACATGTTCTACATCTTGCAAGACCCAAATTTGGTCTCCAGTAGAGGGGTTTCAGCTGAACTCAGACTTCTTGGTTTATGACTACTCCTGGGTTGGCGCAGAAACTAGGATGGTAGTTGACTTGAGAACTGAGGGAAAAGTCCAAGGGATAGGGCCTGCCAGAAGCCAAGAACTCAGATGTGAGGCAAAGGGTGGTACTAGATGTAGATTGTGGGTGCTTCTGGTTGTCCTGGGAACTCTTAAGCAGGAGGTGGGAAGTGGATCCCCTGGGAATTCAGAGTGGAAGAAGAGGATATGTGTTTATTAGAAGGGAAATAGACAGTGGGACAAGGGTTGGGGAGAAGGATTTTCTTTGTCATTAGTACAGGAGTTTGTAGGTGTGATTTTGCTCTGATTTCTATAGGTTCTAGATAACATTAGCTGCCTTCTCCTCAGGATTTGGAGGAAAGTGTTGAGTGGGAGGACTTCCCAGACAAATAGGTATCTCTTGGCCCTGACAGGTCTCCCCGAGAGGGCTCTGCCCAGTCGGAGAGAGGGATGGACAGCCCGAAGCCGCCTGGTGAGGATAAAGATTCGGAACCAGCAGGTGGGTAGGACAAACACTGGGTTTCTGTTCTTTGCAGGAAATCTTAGATTTCTGGTCCTAGCACAGGGACAGAAGCTAAGTCTGTCTGATAGGTAATAATTGAAGGACTTTGTTCTTTGGGACAGAAGTTGAAATGCCATCACTGTTATCCACCAAGGGTTTTGGGTAATCTCATGGGTCTGATGAGTGGACTGGTATTAAACAGAGGATAATGGCTGATACATGTTTCTTCTCTGTTCATTCAGCTGATGGACCTGCAGCCTCCGAGGAGTCAGGTGCCACTGAGCCAGACCTTCCCAAACCACATGTTGGGGAGGTCTCTGTGCCCAGTTCTGGGGGTCCCCAGCTTCAGGAGCCTCCCCAGGACCGCAGGTAACTAGTTTGGGGAAATGAGGATATAAGGAGGTATGAAGACTTGATTTGAGCATCTGGGGCTTTCAAAGTGGAAGATTTAGGAGATGAGTGTTTGGGAAGCATAGGGGCGCCAAGTCATGGGGTTGTTGAGGGTGCCCGTGGGCAGGACTGGCGTGGTGCTGATGCTCGTGTGTTTACAGCGGGGGTCCAGTGCGGCGTTGTGCTCTCTGTAACTGCGGAGAGCCCAGTCTACATGGTCAGCGGGAGCTACGGCGCTTTGAGTTGCCATTTGACTGGCCCCGGTGTCCCGTGGTGTCCCCTGGGGGGAACCCAGGGCCCAGTGAGGGAGCACTGCCCAGTGAGGACCTATCACAGATTGGTTTCCCTGAGGGCCTGACACCTGCTCACCTGGGAGAACCTGGAGGTAAGGGAAGGGAAATGGGGTAGGGGCTAGGTGGTCCTGAACCAGGGGTCACGTTCTCGTTAACTGTTTTCCCTCTTTCCACCTATAAAGGGTCCTGCTGGGCTCACCATTGGTGCGCTGCGTGGTCGGCAGGCGTATGGGGGCAGGAGGGCCCAGAACTATGTGGTGTGGACAAGGCCATCTTCTCAGGGATCTCACAGGTGGGGCGGGGGCCAGGGGATGGCACAGGCGAAGGGCAGGGTGGGCAGGGGGTATCCTGGGGGAGAGCTGGTGCCTGGCCTGTGGCTCTGGAGAGCGCTGGCCGGTGCTGAGGCTTTGTCTCCTCTCTGGCAGCGCTGCTCCCACTGCACCAGACTTGGTGCCTCCATCCCTTGCCGCTCGCCTGGATGTTCACGTCTTTACCACTTCCCCTGTGCAACTGCCAGCGGTTCCTTCTTATCCATGAAAACACTGCAGCTGCTATGCCCAGAGCACAGTGAGGGGGCCGCACATCTGGGTGAGGAGTCCCGCCCCTTGGACAGAGGACACGTGGGGGTCCACGGCTGCTGGGGTTTTTATGCTCTGCAGAGTGCTCTGAAGCCTGTAATTACGTGCTGTCAGTCTGCCCCATGAAAATAGGCGTGGACTCTGAGTGCAGTGGCTTTGCCCATCTCATTTACCATGGTCTCTGCAGCGCCTGGGTTTTCCAGGTGGCACTAGTGGTAAAGAACCCGCCTGCTAGTGCAGGAGAAGTTAGAGACGTGGGTTCAATCCCTAGTTGGGAAGATCCCCTGGAGGAGGGCATGGCAGCCCACTCCAATATCCTTGCCTGGAGAATCCCATGGACAGAGGAACTTTGTGGGCTGCAGTCCATGGGGTCTGAAAGAGTTGGACACGACTGAAACAACGGAGCGTACATGCACAGTGCAGTGCCTAGAGCAGTGCCTGATGTGTTAGGCAGACACTTAGAAACTGTTCATTCTGTGTCTGCGGAATGCCGGTTATGTAGACAGCACTGTGCTGAGTCCTATAAGGAACCCATAGCTGACCTGTGTCATTCTTCCCTTCCTACTGCAGAGGATGCTCGCTGTGCAGTATGTGAGGGGCCAGGGGAATTGTGTGACCTGTTCTTCTGTACCAGCTGTGGGCATCACTATCACGGGGCCTGTCTGGACACTGCTCTGACTGCCCGCAAGCGTGCTGGCTGGCAGTGCCCTGAATGCAAAGTGTGCCAAGCTTGCAGGTACAAGTGGGAGGGCAGGAGGGAACCTTAGGTGAAGCATGGGTCAGGGTTGAAGAGCAGGGCAGGGAGAACCCTGTTATGTGCCCTCGCAGGAAACCTGGGAATGACTCTAAGATGTTGGTCTGTGAGACGTGTGACAAAGGATACCATACCTTCTGCCTGAAACCACCAATGGAGGAACTGCCTGCTCACTCTTGGAAGTGCAAGGTGAGTGTGCCCCAATGCTGCCTTACTCTCCCTAATTCCACCTGCTGCAGTGCCCCAGGTTTCTCTGTGGGGACACGCTCTGTGCTCTCCTCCCATCTCTGCGTCTCTGCTGTCTGACCAGTGGCCATTTTGCTTGTTCCCTCCCGCTAGGCATGCCGGGTGTGCCGGGCCTGTGGGGCAGGCTCAGCTGAGCTGAATCCCAACTCTGAGTGGTTTGAGAACTACTCGCTCTGTCACCGCTGTCACAAGGTCCCGGGAGGACAGCCTGTTAGTTCTCTTGCTGAGCAGCACCCCCCAGTCTGTAGCAGGTAAGTGGTGTGGATTGACAGAGGTTGGGAGGGGGCCTGGGAGGTACTGAGATGGGCAGGGGTTGTGTTCAAGCAAACAGCCTTTGAGAGGAGGGCCCTCAGGTGAGCAGTACATTCCAGAGCATCCATGCATGAGCCCTGTGTGCTCTAGAGGGGTCGGTGGGTGATGCGAGTCTGCTTCCCGTGCCCTCTGCAGATTCTCACCCCCAGAGCCTGGCGCTACCCCCACCGATGAGCCCAATACTCTGTACGTTGCGTGCCAAGGGCAGCCAAAGGGTGGACACATGACCTCTATGCAACCCAAGGAACCGGGGCCCCTGCAATGTGAAGCCAAACCACTAGGTGAGTAGGGTTTGAGGGTTCCTGAAAGTAATCCCCTTCTATCCTGTGGCAAGGGCCAATCTCTGCTTTGCCCCAACCCTGTACTTGCTGTGGGGGTGCAGCTGAGCTAGGTAGGAGCAGAGTGTGTTATGTCTGCAGGGAGAGAAGGGGCCCAACTTGAGCCCCAGTTGGAGGCCCCCCTAAATGAGGAGATGCCACTGCTGCCCCCACCTGAGGAGTCGCCCCTGTCCCCACCACCTGAGGACTCACCCACGTCCCCGCCGCCTGAGGCATCGCGCCTGTCCCCACCGCCTGAGGACTCACCCCTCTCTCCACCGCCTGAGGAGTCTCCTCTGTCTCCCTCGCCTGAGTCACCACCCTTCTCTTCCCCAGAGGACTCCCCCCCACATCCCCCACTTGATACACCCTTACCCCCACCACCTGAAACGTCACCCCTGTCCCCACCACTGGAGGAGTCTCCTCTGTCCCCTCCCCCCGAGGAATTGCCTACTTCCCCACCACCGGAAGCATCTCGCCTGTCTCCACCACCGGAAGAATCACCCATGTCTCCGCCACCTGAAGAGTCACCCATGTCTCCGCCACCTGAGGCTTCTTGTCTGTTCCCACCATTTGAGGAGTCACCCCTCTCCCCTCCACCCGAGGAATCTCCTCTCTCCCCGCCACCTGAGGCATCACGCCTATCTCCACCACCTGAGGACTCACCCATGTCCCCACCACCTGAAGACTTGCCTATGTCCCCCCCGCCTGAGGTGTCACGCCTGTCCCCTCCGCCTGAGGAGTCTCCCCTGTCACCACCACCTGAGGAGTCTCCCACATCCCCTCCACCTGAGGCTTCACGCCTGTCCCCTCCACCTGAGGACTCCCCTACATCCCCGCCACCTGAAGACCTGCCTGCTTCCCCGCCTCCGGAGGACTTGCTCGTGTCCCTGCCGCTGGAGGAGTCACCGCTATTGCCACTGCCTGAAGAACTGCGACTCTGCCCCCGGCCCGAGGAGCCACAGCTGTCCCCTCAAGCTGAGAAACCGCGCCTGTCTCCTGCGCCCCAAGAGCCGCGTCTATCTCCTGCATCCCAGGAGCCGCATCTGTCCCCCGCACCCCAGGAGCTGTGCCTGTCTCCCGCACCTGAGGAGCCACGCCTGTCCCCTGCACCCCAGCAGCCGTGCCTGTCCCCGGTGCCCGAGGAGCCACGCCTGTCCCCCGCACCCCAGCAGCCGCACCTGTCCCCTATGCCCCAACAGCCGCACCTGTCCCCTGCGCCCGAGGAGCCACGCCTGTCCCCCGTGCCCAAGGAGCTGCGCCTGTCCCCTGCACCCCAGGAGCCCCGCCTGTCCCCTGCGCCTCAGGATCTGCACCTGTCCCCCGTGCCGGAGGAGCCACATCTATCCCTTGCATCCGAGGAACCACGCCTGTCCCCCCGGCCTGAGGAACCGCGCCTGTCCCCTCGACCTGAGGAGCCACGCCTGTCCCCCCAGCCTGAGGAACCACACCTGTCTCCTCGACCTGAAGAGCCCACTGAGGAGCCAGGCCTGTGCCCTGCATCTGAGGAATTGCCCTTATTCCTCCCACCCAGGGAGCCACCCTTATCCCCCATGCTTGGAGAGCCGGCCCTGTCTGAGCCTGGGGAACCACCTCTGTCCCCTCTGCCTGAGGAGCTGCCGTTGTCCCCACCTGGGGAGCCATCTTTGTCACCTCAGCTGATGCCACCAGGTAAGGGGCTGTTAGTACCCTGTTACTCTGGGACAGTCTTCACTCTTGATGGCACATCTAATCTAAGAGCCTCTCTTTTCCTCCAGATCCTCTTCCTCCTCCACTTTCACCCATCATCACAACTGTGGCCCCACCAGCCCTGTCTCCGTTGGGAGAGTTAGAGTACCCCTTTGATGCCAAAGGGGACAGTGACCCTGAATCGCCATTGCCTGCCCCCATCCTGGAGACACCTATCAGCCCTCCACCGGAAGCTAACTGCACTGACCCTGAGCCTGTACCCCCTATGATACTTCCTCCGTCCCCAGGCTCCCCCATGGGACCGGCCTCTCCCATCCTGATGGAGCCTCTTCCCCCTCGTTGTTCCCCGCTCCTCCAGCATTCCCTGCCTCCCTCAAGCTCACCTCCTTCCCAGTGCTCTCCTGCCCTGCCACTGTCGGTTCCTTCCCCGCTGAGTCCCATGGACAAGGCAGTGGAGGTCTCAGAAGAGGCTGAGCCACAGAAGATGGAGACTGAGAAAGCCCCAGAACCTGAGTGCCCAGCCTTGGAACCCAGCCCTACTAGTCCTCTTCCGTCTCCTCTGGGGAATCTTTCCTGCCCTGCACCCAGCCCTGCCCCAGCCCTGGATGACTTCTCTGGCCTGGGGGAAGATACAGCCCCTCTGGATGGGACTGACACTCCTGGTTCACAGCCAGAGGCTGGACAGACCCCTGGCAGTTTGGCTAGTGAACTTAAGGGTTCCCCTGTGCTCCTGGACTCTGAGGAGCTGGCCCCTGTGACCCCTATGGAGGTCTATGGCCCAGAATGCAAGCAGGCAGGGCAGGGCTCACCCTGTGAAGAGCAAGAGGAGCCACGTGCACCTGTGGCCCCGACCCCACCTACTCTCATCAAATCCGACATCGTTAATGAGATCTCCAATCTGAGCCAGGGCGATGCCAGTGCCAGTTTTCCTGGCTCAGAGCCCCTGCTGGGCTCTCCAGACCCCGAAGGGGGTGGCTCCCTGTCCATGGAGTTGGGGGTATCTACAGACGTTAGTCCAGCCCGAGATGAGGGCTCCCTGCGGCTCTGTACCGACTCGCTGCCAGAGACTGATGACTCGCTATTGTGTGATGCTGGGACAGCTATTGGAGGAGGCAAAGCCGAGGGGGACAAGGGGAGGCGGCGCAGCTCCCCGGCTCGTTCCCGCATCAAACAGGTAAGGGGCTATCCAGCCGCTGGATGTGTTTGATGTCCTGTGACTGTCAGAGGTACGGTTCTGTGTCACTCACTGATACCTTTCCACCTGACTTATCGAATCCTAGGTTCTCAGAGATCCTTGAGTTCATCTTGTTACTTTATTAAAGAGAACACCAGTAACAGAGGGGAAAGTAACTCGCCCAGGTTCTTGGTTACTCAGTCAATAGAATCGGCATTAGAAACTCAGATCTCTCAAGCCGGTTTTTTTCTCACTGTACAGTACCATGTTGGCCACTCTTCTTGGAAGATCAGGAGTGGTTTGGACCAGAGCTACCTACCTGTTGCTACTCGAGAGTTTGGGCTTCCTCCCTGGCCCTGACTGGGAAGCTTGGACTTTGTTACCTGCCTTTGTCTCTGGCCCTTTGTCCCTTCTCTTGCCTCTAAGCCTATGGACCCCACCTCTTAGCCCTCTGCTTCTCCTGTAATCACCCGTTTCCCTCACTCAGGGTCGCAGCAGTAGTTTCCCAGGGAGACGCCGGCCACGTGGAGGAGCACATGGAGGACGTGGGAGAGGACGGGCCCGGCTAAAATCAACTACTTCTTCCATTGAGACTCTGGTAGTAAGGAGAGGCCTCCCATCCCCCAAACATGCTTCAGCTGGCCCCTTCAAGATTAAACACCCTTTAAATCCTGCCAGTCCCCTGCACGCTCTGCCTGCCTGCTAGCGTAGGGCCTGTCCAGCTATGTCTGTGCTCCTTCTGTCCTCTTGGCCCCCAGGCTTCTCTGAAATGTGATGTTGGGCTGAGGCCCAGTTTGGGAGCTGGGGTGTTCTTCTGCTTCTTAGTCCTGGCTCCTGGCCTTCATCTTAGCCAGGGGTTTATGCCGCCTTCCCCCAACACCAAAGAGGAAAGCAGCTTAGTGGGGGCAGATTTAGCTGCCTCACTTTGCACAACTCTCTGCCTATAAGGTTGCTGATATCGATAGCTCTCCCAGCAAGGAGGAAGAAGACGATGATGATGATACCATGCAAAATACTGTGGTTCTCTTCTCCAACACAGACAAATTTGTGCTAATGCAGGTACTGTACTTGACTCAAGTAGTCGCATCTTCAGCAGTAAGACCTGGCAGACTGAACGCCAGGCTGGCATTTGGATGTATGTGTTTTGGTGGGAGGGTAAATGAGGAAAACCAGAGGTCTACTTCTCAGAATACCAGAAAATGAGCTTGACACTGAACTGGGAGCTGGGAATGTAGCAGTGAAAAAGGCAGAGATGATTTCTGCTCTATTGAAGCTCCTAGTCTAGGGATCATGAGTAATCTTGAAGCCACAAAATTTGTCGCATATGTTACTGTGATCCTGATCAGTCTTCACCCACCTTATCTTTCACTTCTCATTACCTCTATCCATGGTAGGCTGTATCATTTCAGATTACCTGATCAGACGAGCAAGGCAGCCCAGGAAGGAGGAGGGTCCCGTGATGGCTCACTGTGTCCTAATGCACAGAGGCTTTTGGTTCTCTGACTCCCTCCTGTTGGATTAGTGTCACAGTCAGTTACGGGGACTGAGTGGTGTTGAGGATGTGAGGTGGGACATTGGGGTTTCTGTGTGTTTCCCCAGGACATGTGTGTGGTGTGTGGCAGCTTTGGCCGGGGGGCAGAGGGCCACCTCCTTGCCTGTTCCCAGTGCTCCCAGTGCTATCATCCTTACTGTGTCAACAGCAAGGTGAGTTCAGGGCCCCAGTGATCTGGTCTGGAGAATGGGGTCAGTTCTTGCTTATCCTAGCTCTCTTTCCTGGCCACTCTACTTAAAGTGGTCACTGGTTATGGAACTTGTTCATCATTTTCCAGTGGCTGTCAAATTCATCTTGGGTAAAATGTTTTGGAAACCGTAGTGGTCTTATGGGTTTCTTTGTTACAGATCATGACTTACTGGTATAGTTGAGTACATTGTATAAATTGTGGGAACTTTTCTAGTAGGAAACATGCTCTGGATATAAAATATAAAATCAGAACCAAACACATGTCCACAAAGAGAAAGCAATGTTTTTGACTCAAGCATGATCAGTCATTTTGGGGTTTTCATTAACATTTAGAACTTGTCCACTGCTAACATTCACCAACTTGGAGCAGTAGCAGGTTCTACGTGTTCATGAAAAGCTGGGGGAAGTACAACCTGGCTAGTGAAAGATCTTAACAAGGCAGTGGCTGGGTGAGGCTGTTCTTTGATCAGCGGAGATCCCTGGAAGCCTGTTTAAGAGCCACTATTTTAGGGGTGAGGGTGCTCTGTGTATCCTCCCTGTGCGCAAATGAAGGTCTGGCCTGGGTACGGGAACCCTTCAGTCCCAGCTCTGTAAGTCCCAGCACCCTTGGAGAGGTCTGCCCTGCCCTCTGCATCACCCCCTGAGGAATTGCCATCTCCTGCACCAGATCACCAAGGTGATGCTGCTGAAGGGCTGGCGTTGTGTGGAGTGCATCGTGTGCGAGGTGTGTGGCCAAGCCTCAGACCCCTCCCGCCTTCTGCTCTGTGATGACTGTGACATTAGCTACCACACGTACTGCCTGGACCCCCCACTGCTCACCGTGCCGAAGGGTGGCTGGAAGTGCAAGTGGTAAGGAGACCAGCAACTTCAGATGGGCCTGACATGTTAAGAGTGGGTATGATGTTGAATACATGGCCGAGGCTGGGTTTTGGAGGCCAGGCTGGTTTGGGTGCTCTGGGTAGGTTAGGTGTTGAGGGTCTGTCTTTCTGCCCCCACCAGGTGTGTGTCTTGTATGCAGTGTGGGGCCGCCTCCCCTGGCTTCCACTGTGAATGGCAGAATAGTTACACACACTGCGGGCCCTGTGCCAGCCTGGTGACCTGCCCTATCTGTCATGCCCCCTACGTGGAGGAGGACCTGCTGATCCAGTGTCGCCATTGTGAACGGTGAGGGTGCCCGTCTCCCCCAGATAGGCTCCCCATCCCTGTTTTCAGCCTCGCGTTGTTTCCATTCACTTCCTCCTGTCTCCTTTCTCCCAGGTGGATGCATGCCGGCTGTGAGAGCCTCTTCACAGAGGATGATGTGGAGCAGGCAGCTGATGAGGGCTTTGACTGTGTCTCCTGCCAGCCTTATGTGGTCAAGCCTGCTGGTGAGTCCCAGATGCTAGGGAGCGGGGAGGAGGGGCCAGCACAGGGGTGCCTTGCTCTGGGCCAGGGCCTCCAGCTGTTTGTCCTTTCCACAGCACCTGTCGCACCTCCAGAGTTGGTACCTATGAAGGTGAAAGAGCCTGGTGAGTCACAGTAGTTCTGTATGCCAGTGCCAGAGGAGACCCTTAGACACTTAGTCCAGCTCCAGTCCCCCAATTTTATCTCATTTTTCACAGAAAAAAAGCTAAGATCCAGGGATGTTGAGTGGCCTGCCCAAGGTCACCCCATAGGTCAGCGGTGAAGTTGTGGTGACACCCAAGGACTCCAGATTCCAGACAGAATTCCATTCACCAGCCAACATGGCCTTTATACAGCCAGACTCTCATCTTCATAGAGCATAGGACCCTTTCTGAACCCTGCTCTTTTTCCTTAATGAAGGAGCTCTCCCACCTCCACCCATCATGTTGTGGGCACTGCCCCTGGCATCTGGGGCACTATGAGCTGGCATTCAGCAAGGAGGGGCCCTCCTTGGTCCACACAGCTAGAGAATATATTTGGTGACCTGAGGGTTAATCAGGAGCAGAGTCCAACTTCAGCAGCAGCTGTCTCTCAGACCCCCTCGGGTCACTGAGAGAGCACTCAGGCCTCAGCTGGTGCCCACCAGTAGTCTCTCCTCTATCGCCCTCAGCCTGGACTTCAGTCTGTATGTCCCACTGCTCTTATCCCAGCTAGGGACTTAGGCCGAAACTCAGAGTCCCAGTTTCCCTGGGGCTCCATGGGGTCACGTGCTTTTCCCCTTTGTCCAGAGCCCCAGTACTTTCGCTTTGAGGGCGTGTGGCTGACAGAAACGGGCATGGCGGTGCTGCGTAACCTGACCATGTCGCCTCTGCACAAACGGCGTCAGAGGCGTGGACGGCCTGGCCTCCCAGGCGAGGCGGGGCTGGAGGGGGCCGAGCCTGCAGAGGTCCTGGGCCCTGATGACAAGAAGGATGGTGACCTGGACACGGATGAGCTGCTCAAGGCTGAAGGTCAGCCTGGGGGATCTTGGGGAGTGCCAGAGTTCTGGGAGAATGCCTGTGAGAGTTGAGTGTTGGGTCAGGGCAGTGTTGTCACTCCCAGTCACCCTTGGGCCACTGTGGATCTTGTCCTTTGGCTCTGTGACAGGGAACTCAGTTCTCTGTTCTTTTTTTTTTGTCTCAGTTGTGTCTTCGTTGCTGCATGTGAACTTTCTCTAGTTGCTGTGAGTGGGGGCTACTCTAGTTGCAGTAGACAGGCTTCTCATTGTGGTAGCTTCTCTTGTTGCAAAGCATGGGCCTTAGGGTGCGCAGGTTTTAGTAGTTGTGGCTCACAGGCTTAGTTGTCCCTTGGTGTGTGGAATCTTCCTAGACCAGGAATCAAACCCATGTCCCCTGCATTGGCAGGCAGATTCTAACCACTGGACCATCTGGGAAGTCCCCACTTCTCTGTCCTAGCTGACAGGATGACAGGGTTTTAAAAGGGTCCATGCCTCTGACCTGTCTCCATCTCTTCTGTCTCCATACACAGGTAGTGTGGAGCACATGGAATGCGAAATTAAACTGGAGGGTCCTGTCAGCCCTGATGGAGAACCTGGCAAAGAGGAGACCGAGGAAAGCAAAAAACGCAAACGCAAACCGTATCGGCCTGGTGAGGCCCTGGGATGTGGGTGGGGTGGTGAGGGGCAGCTTACCAGGTCCCTAGCAGCTTCTCAGCCTCAGCTCTGCCTCCTTACAGGCATTGGTGGTTTCATGGTGCGACAGCGGAAATCCCACACACGTGTGAAAAAAGGGCCTGCTGCACAGGCGGAGGTGTTGAGTGGGGATGGGCAGCCCGACGAGGGTGAGACGGGTGAGGGCTCCAGTGGGGCCTGGGAGAAGGTGGGGCTCGCAGGACCGTGGAACACTGCCAGGGAGGCCGGGGGCAAGGGTGCTCTCACAGGACCAAGGAAGTAGTGGGCCCAGTTGGTGTCAGTGGAGAATAGGCAGAAAGTGTCCCCAGGCCAACCTGGGAGCAGCGTGCCTGCAGTCCCCAGAGAGGCTAACCCTCCTGTTCGGTCCTCAGTGTTGCCTGCCGACCTGCCTGCTGAGGGCTCTGTGGACCAGAGCCTGGCCGATGGGGATGAGAAGAAGAAGCAGCAGCGGCGAGGGCGCAAGAAGAACAAACTGGAGGACATGTTCCCTGCTTACCTGCAGGTGGGTCTTAGGCTCTGAGGGCCAAGGGCCAGGCTGCTGGCCCACAGGGCCTGAGGAAGCCTGTTTCTTTCCATCTCCTCCCACAGGAAGCCTTCTTTGGGAAGGAGCTGCTGGACCTGAGCCGGAAGGCCCTGTTTGCAGTTGGCATGGGCCGGCCAGGCTTTGGATTGGGAACCCCCAAAGCCAAGGGAGATGGAGGCTCAGAGAGGAAGGAGCTCCCGACCTCACAGAAAGGTCAGTTATGTGGGGGTAAGGTGGTCTGAAGGGGTCCAACTTCACTTTGTGCTTGGAAGCTGGTAAGAGATTTTGGTGGGAAATGGGCTGGTCTCCAGAAGTTGAGGGTTGGCCAAGAGCCCTGACCTTGGCACTGGGGTCCTGTTCTGGGCATCTCTGATTGAAGTGGGACTGTTGCTCATAGGAGATGATGGTCCGGATGTTGCAGATGAAGAATCCCGTGGTCCCGAGGGCAAGGCTGATACACCAGGTGAGGGCTGCTGGGAGAACTGGGTGCTATCTTGGTTTTGCTTCTGCCAACCTATTCTGCCCCTGAGCACCATCAAGGTTGGAGGCTGGAAAGTGTTTCAGGCCTTCTGCGGTCCTTACCAGAGTGGCCAGTGTGGTGCTTCCACACCGACCTGAGCTGATGGGCTTTTCTTGGCAATTGCAGGACCTGAGGACGGCGGCATAAAGGCATCCCCTGTGCCCAGTGACCCCGAGAAGCCAGGCACTCCGGGTGAAGGGATGCTTAGCTCTGACTTAGACAGGATTCCCACAGAAGGTGAGGCTGGGACCCACACTCTTCATGTATAAGGGTCCTCTCCTCTGCCTGAGGGACTCATTTATACAGCTCCTCTGGTGGGGAGTCATGGGCACCTTCCGTGGTATCCCCTGAGTCCCCTAGTCTTCCTCAGCAGCATCTTTCTTTGATCGCTCACAGAACTGCCTAAGATGGAATCCAAGGACCTGCAGCAGCTTTTCAAGGACGTTCTGGGTTCCGAACGAGAACAGCATCTGGGTTGTGGAACCCCTGGCCTAGACGGTAGCCGGACACCATTGCAGAGGCCCTTTCTTCAAGGTGAGCCAATGGGGGTGGTTTGAGGACTGGGTGGGCAGGTGCCGCCAAGCTTGCCTCTAGACTGGGCTGCTTTCTCCCTCTCTCTGATCCTTTGTGTCTTGTAGGTGGACTCCCTTTGGGCAATCTCCCCTCCAGCAGCCCAATGGACTCTTACCCGGGCCTCTGCCAGTCCCCATTCCTGGATTCTAGGTTGGTATTTGTGCTTAACCTCTGTGGGCAGTCCCTTCCCTCCAGTGGGGCCACGCCGGGGGAGGGAACCTTGGACTCTCGGGTGCTGCTGTGGCAACCCCTCCCTCTGCTGCCTTGCTAGTGACTGTCCTCTGTTGGGGCAGGGCAGTGGCCTGGGGACTCTGGGCAGTTTGTCTGGGGTGGGGCTTGGCATCCCTGCCCTCTGTGACTCTCCGCCCCTGCGCCCCAGGGAGCGCGGGGGCTTTTTTAGCCCGGAACCCGGTGAGCCAGACAGCCCCTGGACAGGCTCGGGGGGCACCACGCCCTCCACCCCCACCACCCCCACCACGGAGGGTGAGGGCGACGGGCTCTCCTATAATCAGCGGAGTCTTCAGCGCTGGGAGAAGGACGAGGAGTTGGGCCAGCTGTCCACCATCTCACCTGTGCTGTACGCCAATATTAACTTCCCCAGTCTCAAGCAGGATTACCCAGGTACCTGTGGGACAGGGCAAGGGAGACAGCCTGCGACACGACCAGTGCGGGGGTCACCTGCCAGTTCTCTCACACATTGTCTTTGTCCTCCAGACTGGTCAAGCCGCTGCAAACAAATCATGAAACTCTGGAGAAAAGTTCCAGCTGCTGATAAAGCCCCCTACCTGGTGAGACAGAAGGAGCCTGGGGTGGCGTGGGAACTGAGTCAGGGATGGCGTGTCTTTGGGAAAGTCACCTTCATTCCTTCTATTCCCCACTTTCATAGCAGCTAGGCCAGTAGGGGTCGGCTTCTGGGTGGGGAGTGTGAGGGACAGGGTGAGGGAGTGGGACTGGGCTTGAGACTGAGTCCCAGCCTCAGGCTGTGTCCTCTGTCCCCTCAGCAAAAGGCCAAAGATAACCGCGCAGCTCACCGCATCAACAAGGTGCAGAAGGTGAGCGGGCTCAGGCTGCGCGGCGGCCTCCAGGTCTGGGTGTGGGGCAGCCTCCCTGAGAGTGGGGTCAGGGGGCCTGCCCACAACAGCCTGACCATTCTGTATCTGGTCTCCTCCTGTAGCAGGCTGAGAGCCAGATCAACAAGCAGACCAAGGTGGGCGACATGGCCCGCAAGACTGACCGACCAGCCCTACACCTCCGCATTCCCCCCCAGCCAGGGGCCCTGGGCAGTCCACCTCCCGCTGCTGCCCCCACCGTTTTCATTGGCAGCCCCACTCCCCCCGCCGGCTTGTCTACCTCTGCGGACGGGTTCCTGAAGCCGCCGGCGGGCACGGTGCCCGGCCCCGACTCGCCTGGTGAGCTCTTCCTCAAGCTCCCGCCCCAGGTGCCCGCCCAAGTGCCTTCACAGGACCCTTTTGGACTGGCCTCTGCCTATGCTCTGGAGCCCCGCTTCCCCACAGCACCCCCCACCTACCCTCCCTATGCTAGTCAGACTGGGGGCCCTGCACCGCCCCCGACGCTGGGTGCCTCGTCTCGTCCTGGGACTGGCCAGCCAGGGGAGTTCCACACTACCCCACCTGGCACCCCCCGACACCAGCCCTCCACGCCTGACCCCTTCCTCAAACCCCGCTGCCCCTCCCTGGACAACGTGGCTGTGCCTGAGAGCCCAGGGGTAGGGGGAGGCAAGGCTGCTGAGCCTCTGCTGTCCCCCCTGCCTTTCGGGGAGTCTCGGAAGGCCCTGGAGGTGAAGAAGGAAGAGCTTGGGGGATCCTCTCCGAGCTATGGGCCCCCAAACCTGGGCTTTGTTGATTCTCCCTCCTCAGGCCCCCACTTGGGTGGCCTGGAGTTAAAGGCACCTGATGTCTTCAAAGCCCCCCTGACCCCTCGGGCATCTCAGGTAGAGCCCCAGAGCCCGGGCTTGGGCCTAAGGCCCCAGGAGCCACCCCCTGCCCAGGCTTTGGCCCCTTCTCCTCCCAGCCACTCGGACATCTTTCGCCCTGGCCCCTACCCTGACCCCTACGCCCAACCCCCGCTGACCCCTCGGCCCCAGCCCCCACCACCTGAGAGCTGCTGTGCTCTGCCTCCCCGCTCACTGCCCTCTGACCCTTTCTCCCGAGTGCCCGCCAGTCCCCAGTCCCAGTCCAGCTCCCAGTCCCCATTGACACCCCGTCCTCTGTCTGCTGAGGCTTTCTGCCCATCCCCTGTTACCCCTCGCTTCCAATCCCCTGACCCTTACTCCCGTCCACCCTCACGCCCTCAGTCCCGGGATCCATTTGCCCCGTTGCATAAGCCCCCCCGCCCCCAGCCCTCTGAAGTTGCCTTCAAGGCTGGGCCTCTAGCCCACACTCCGCTGGGGGCTGGGGGTTTCCCAGCAGCCCTGCCCTCAGGGCCAGCAGGTGAGCTCCATGCCAAGGTCCCAAGTGTGCAACCCCCCAATTTTGCCCGGTCCCCTGGGACCAGTGCGTTTGTGGGCACCCCTTCTCCCATGCGTTTCACTTTCCCTCAGGCAGTCGGGGAGCCTCCCCTAAAGCCCCCTGTCCCTCAGCCTGGTCTCCCTCCACCCCATGGGATCAACAGCCATTTTGGGCCCGGCCCTACCATGGGCAAGCCTCAAAGCACAAACTACGCAGTAGCCACAGGGAACTTCCACCCATCGGGCAGCCCTCTGGGACCCAGCAGCGGGGCCACAGGAGAGGGCTATGGGCTGTCCCCACTACGCCCCCCGTCAGTCCTACCACCACCTGCACCCGATGGATCCCTCCCCTACCTGTCCCACGGAGCCTCACAGCGGGCAGGCATCACCTCTCCAGTTGAGAAGCGAGAAGACCCAGGGGCTGGCACGGGCAGCTCTTTGGCGGCACCTGAGCTTTCAGGTACCCAGGACCCAGGCATGTCTGGCCTGAGTCAGACAGAACTAGAGAAGCAGCGACAGGTGGGTCAACATCTCCTCTGTTTGTGGGGCGGCCCTTTGGGCTTTGGTGCTTGTCCAACGGACTTATCCTCTTGTCTGTACTCTGCACAGCGCCAGCGACTGCGGGAGCTATTGATTCGGCAGCAGATGCAGCGCAACACCCTTCGGCAGGAGAAGGAGACTGCGGCAGCTGCCGGAGCGGTGGGACCCCCAGGCAACTGGGGTGCTGAGCCTAGTAGCCCTGCGTTTGAGCAGCTGGGTCGAGGCCAGACCCCCTTTGCTGGGACCCAGGTAGGTAGAGTGGCAAGGGGTGGTGGATCCAAGATGCTGAAGGTGGCCCCACTTTCATCTACCCTCATCTCTCCTAGGACAAGGGCAGCCTTGTGGGGCTGCCCCCGAGCAAGCTGGGCGGCCCCATCCTGGGGCCAGGGGCTTTCCCCAGTGAAGACCGACTCTCCCGGCCGCCTCCACCAGCCACCCCTTCCTCTATGGATGTTAACAGCCGGTGAGGCTCCTGGGCTTCCCATGGGGAAAAATCAGGGGAATATATTGTATCCAGTGTGCGCTGCCACTGATTTTCCTGTCTCTCTCATTCTCAGCATCACTTTCTTTTCTTCCCCATTCCTTCCCCCTCACTGCATCAACTCTTTCCTTCTTTAGGGAAGCACATGTTCTAGCTCTTTTTTCATTCTGATTTTATCTTACTACTGCGTATACTTCCAGGCAATTGGTGGGGGGCTCCCAAGCCTTCTATCAGCGAGCACCGTATCCTGGGTCCCTGCCCTTACAGCAGCAGCAGCAGCAGCAACTGTGGCAGCAGCAGCAACAGGCAACAGCAGCAACTTCCATGCGACTTACCATGTCTGCGCGCTTTCCATCAACTCCTGGGCCTGAACTTGGCCGCCAAACCCTAGGTTCCCCTTTGGCTGGAATTTCCAACCGCCTGCCTGGCCCTGGTGAACCAGTACCTGGCCCAGCTGGTCCTGCCCAGTTCATTGAGTTGCGGCACAATGTACAAAAAGGACTTGGACCGGGGGGTCCTCCATTTCCCGGTCAGGGCCCTCCACAGAGACCCCGTTTTTACCCTGTGGCTGAGGATTCCCACCGACTGGCCCCTGAAGGGCTTCGTGGCCTCGCGGTCTCAGGCCTTCCTCCACAGAAACCTTCAGCCCCACCAGCCCCTGAGCTGAACAACAGCCTCCATCCAACGCCCCACACCAAAGGTCCCAACCTGCCCACTGGCTTGGAGCTAGTCAGCCGGCCCCCCTCCAGCACTGAGCTTGGCCGCCCCCCTCCTCTGGCCCTGGAAGCTGGAAAACTACCTTGTGAGGATCCTGAGCTGGATGATGACTTTGATGCCCACAAGGCCTTGGAGGACGATGAGGAGCTTGCTCACCTGGGCCTGGGTGTGGATGTGGCCAAGGGAGACGATGAGCTGGGCACTCTGGAAAACCTAGAGACCAATGATCCCCACCTCGATGACCTGCTCAATGGGGATGAGTTTGACCTGCTGGCCTATACTGACCCTGAGCTGGACACGGGGGACAAGAAGGACATCTTCAACGAGCATCTGAGGCTGGTGGAGTCGGCCAATGAAAAGGCTGAACGAGAGGCTCTGTTGCGAGGGGTGGAGCCAGGACCCTTGGGCCCTGAGGAGCGCCCTCCCCCGGCTGCTGATGCCTCTGAGCCCCGTCTGGCGTCAGGGCTCCCGGAGGTGAAGCCCAAGGTGGAGGAGGTTGGGCGCCACCCTTCCCCTTGCCAGTTTACCATTACCACCCCCAAGGCAGAGCCAGCACCTGTCACTACTTCCCTAGGCCTGGGGGTAAAGCCAGGTCAGAGCGTGACGGGCAGCCGGGACACTCGAATGGGCACAGGACCTTTTTCCAGCAGTGGGCACACAGCTGAGAAGGTCCCCTTTGGGACCACAGGAGGACCACCAGCTCACCTGCTGACGCCCAGCCCACTGAGTGGCCCGGGAGGGCCCTCCCTATTGGAAAAGTTTGAGCTAGAGAGTGGGGCCCTGACTTTGCCTGGTGGACATGCATCTGGGGATGAGCTGGACAAGATGGAGAGCTCATTGGTCGCCAGTGAGTTACCCCTGCTCATTGAGGACCTGTTGGAACATGAGAAGAAAGAGCTGCAAAAGAAGCAGCAGCTTTCAGCCCAGCTGCAGCCTGTGCAGCAGCAGCAGCCCCAGCAGCATTCCCTGCTGTCCACCCCAGGCCCTGCCCAGGCTGTGTCTTTGCCCCATGAGGGCTCTTCTCCCAGTTTGGCTGGCCCTCAACAGCAGCTTGCCCTGGGACTTGGAGGCTCCCGACAGCCAGGCTTGGCCCAACCGTTGATGCCCACCCAGCCACCAGCTCATGCCCTACAGCAGCGCCTGGCCCCATCCATGGCCATGGTATCCAACCAAGGGCATATGCTAAGTGGGCAGCATGGGGGACAGGCAGGCTTGGTGCCCCAGCAGAACCCACAGCCAGTGCTGGGACAGAAGCCCATGGGTACCGTGCCACCGTCCATGTGCATGAAACCACAGCAGCTGGCAATGCAGCAGCAGTTGGCTAACAGCTTTTTCCCAGATACAGGTAATCTCAGCTGGCGGGGAGGGACTGACTTAGTAACTCAGGAGTGATCACTGTTAGCACCAACTAACTGAATTCTCTCTGAGGCTGCAGACCCAAGATACTCCCTAGTTAAAGGAGATGGGACACAGAGCGTGGTATAGGCGAAACACTGTAGCTTTTAAAGGAGAATAGTGCCTGGCATCTAGCAGGTGTTCAGATGTTTGAATGAATGGAATGAACACCTGAAGTCTGATTAGCAGAGGCCTTGTAGCTGTAGTGAGACCCAGAACTTAGGACTTGGAGCAAAGTGGTACAGGAAGTAATTGGGCTGGTGAAAGATTTAGTGAGACTAGTGGCAGGAAAGTCAGGTGTATTTGGAGACCATGAGTGGACTGCTTAGGCTGGGGTAGACTTTGTGGAAGGAAGCAAGTGGGTACTGCCATAACTTTGGAGAGGTAAGGTGGGGGCCCAGATTGAAGAAGACCTCAAATTATAATAATATCTATTGAATAATGACTGCTAAACATTGTGCTGAGCACTTTGCATTTATTGTGTAATATAATCAGAACAAAAACATTAAATAGGTACCATTATTTTTTTTTTAACTTTTAATTTTGTATTGGGGTATAGGTGATTAACAATGTGAGAGTGTCAGGTGAACAGCTAAGGGACTCAGCCATACATATACATGCATCCATTCTCCCCCAAAGCCCCCCTCCCATCTAGGCTGTCACATAACATTGAGCAGAGTTCTGTATGCTGTACAGCAGGTCCTTGTTGGTTATCCATTTTAAATATAGAAGTGTGTACACGTAATAGGTACTATTATCTTAGATTATAGAAAAGGAAACTGAGGCAGTAAGATTAACTTGCTCAATATCATACAACTAACAGCTGGAATTTGAAGCCTGGCCCTCATATCCTCTTAACTGTTTTACCACCTCAGAATAACCAGGAGAGGGTGTTTGGTTCATCTTCTTAAAAGTAGGGAGTCAGTTAAACTTTCTGAGTAGTGGAGAAATATGCAGTGTATAAGATTTTAGGATGATTTGGTGTCTGCTTGTTTCTTTTTTTCTACCCAGTGTCCTAGACAGGCAGAAGAGTGGTTTGTAGGTGGTGTGTGTTGTGGCCAAAGCAACTCTGGCATTAGGCTTTGGCACTCTGCCCACATCTTGGGTCCTTGGGCTGCACTTAGTTGCCCTAAGAATATGACTTTTGAAGAATGCTTTCTAGGTCATAAAGTAAACTTGTATTCTGGTCACATTTGATCTTCTCAATAGCTCCATGAGATAAGCAGAATAAGGAATCATGATCTCTGTCAAATAGAAGAGTAAACTGAGGCTCATAGAGGTGAAGTGACTTTAATACATTGGTTCAGTAAATATTTACTGAGTACCTTTTCCTAATACCATGCTAGTAAAAACAGCCATGTGTCCTGTGAATAATAGAATTGAGTCTCCTATGCTACCTGGCTCCTAGTCCAGTGGTCATTACATCATGCCATGCGATTGTTTTGCTTGGCTTGGTGGAAGTCAGGTATTGGAACGCCAGACATTGACCTCGATGCCAGGCTCACTTGGCTCTTCCGTCTCTAGACCTGGACAAATTCGCTGCAGAAGATATCATTGATCCTATTGCAAAGGCCAAGATGGTGGCTTTGAAAGGCATCAAGAAGGTGATGGCTCAGGGCAGCATTGGAGTGGCGCCTGGTATGAACAGGTAAGATGTATGAGGTGGGAGCATTGGCTTTTTCCTTTTCCAGTCCTTCCCCTATTCTTCATGATCCTCCTTCCTACTTGTCCCAACTCTTTGCCCTTCAACTTTCCCCATCACTAACTCATCCTCTTTACTTTGGTGGACTCCAGGCAGCAAGTGTCCCTGCTAGCCCAGAGGCTCTCAGGGGGGCCTGGCAGTGATCTGCAGAACCACGTGGCAGCTGGGAGTGGCCAGGTAAATGGTCGGGTGGGAGCAGGAACTTGGGTCCTATGCCTTCGGGCCACCCTTCTTAGGGCCTGGTACAGAACAATGACCCTTCAACAGTCTTTCTCGTCCCAGGAACGGGGTGCCAGTGACCCCTCCCAGCCTCGTCCCAATCCACCCACTTTTGCCCAGGGAGTGATCAGTGAGTATGGTGATGGGGAGGAATGTGCAATGAAGTGGCTTGGGGAAAGAAGGGTTTGGATCCCCTGACACCTGTCTACTTCCTTTCCCAGATGAGGCTGACCAGCGGCAGTATGAAGAGTGGCTGTTCCATACCCAGCAGCTCCTACAAATGCAACTGAAGGTGCTAGAGGAGCAGATAGGGGTGCACCGCAAGTCCCGGAAAGCCCTGTGTGCCAAGCAGCGCACTGCCAAGAAGGCTGGCCGGGAGTTCCCTGAGGCTGATGCTGAGAAGCTGAAGCTGGTTACGGAACAACAGAGCAAGATCCAGAAACAGCTGGACCAGGTAGGGAAGGCAGACTTCAGCCTAGCCACCAGGAACCTGGGAAGAGGAGTGGCACAGGTGGGTAGCCCCCTGGCTGACCTCCTTGACCCTCCCGTGTTAGGTCCGGAAGCAGCAGAAGGAGCACACTAACCTCATGGCAGAATATCGGAATAAGCAGCAGCAGCAGCAGCAGCAGCAGCAACAGCAGCAGCACTCAGCCGTACTTGCCCTTAGCCCTTCCCAGAGTCCCCGGCTACTCACCAAGCTTCCTGGTCAGCTGCTCCCAGGCCATGGGCTGCAGCCACCTCAAGGACCCCCGGGGGGGCAAGCTGCAGGTCTTCGCCTAACCCCCGGGGGCATGGCCTTACCTGGACAGCCTGGTGGCCCCTTCCTCAACACCACCCTGGCCCAACAGCAGCAACAGCAACATTCTGGTGGAGCTGGGGCCCTGGGTGGCCCCGCAGGGGGCTTTTTCCCTGGCAACCTTGCTCTTCGAGGCCTGGGACCTGACTCAAGGCTTTTACAGGAAAGGCAGCTGCAGCTTCAACAGCAGCGCATGCAGCTGGCCCAGAAACTGCAACAGCAGCAGCAGCAGCATCTCCTAGGACAGGTGGCAATCCAGCAGCAACAGCAGCAGGGCCCAGGAGTACAGGCAAACCAGGCTCTGGGTCCCAAGCCCCAGGGCCTTCTGCCTCCCAGCAGCCACCAGGGCCTCTTGGTCCAGCAGCTGTCCCCCCAACCACCCCAGGGGCCCCAGGGCATGCTGGGCCCTGCCCAGGTGGCAGTGTTGCAGCAGCAGCAACCACATCCTGGAGCTTTGGGCCCACAGGGCCCTCACAGACAGGTGCTCCTGACCCAGCCACGGGTGCTAAGTTCCCCCCAGATGGCACAGCAGGGTCAGGGCCTTATGGGACACCGGCTGGTCACATCCCAGCAGCAGCAGCAGCAGCAACAGCACCAACAGCAAGGATCCATGGCCGGGCTTTCCCATCTTCAGCAGGGTCTGATGCCACACAGTGGGCAGCCCAAACTGGGCACCCAGCCCATGGCCGCCTTGCAGCAGCAACAGTTGCAGCAGCAGCAGCTACAACAGCAGCAGCAGCAACAGCTTCAACAACAGCAACAGCTTCAACAACAGCAGCAACAGCTTCAACAACAACAGCTTCAGCAACAGCAGCAGCAACAGCAGCTACAACAGCAGCAGCAGCAGCAACAGCAGCTACAACAGCAGCAGCAGCAGCAACAGCAGCAGCAGCAGCAACAGCAGCTACAACAGCAGCAGCAGCTTCAACAACAGCAGCAGCAGCAGCAGCAGCTTCAACAGCAGCAGCAGCAGCAGATGGGCCTCTTGAGCCAGAGTCGAACTTTACTGTCTCCTCAACAGCAACAGCAGCAGCAGCAGCAACAGGTGACACTAGGCCCTGGCATGCCAGCCAAGCCTCTGCAACACTTTTCTAGCCCCGGAGCCCTGGGCCCAACCCTCATCTTAACAGGCAAGGAACAAAGCATCGTAGAGACGACTCTTCCTTCGGAGGCCAGTGAGGGGCCCTCCACACATCAGGGAGGGCCCTTACCAATGGGGACTGGACCAGAGTCTGTGGCCACTGAACCAGGAGAGATGAAGCCCTCACTGTCTGGGGACTCACAGCTCCTGCTTGTCCAGCCCCAGGCCCAGCCTCAGCCCAACTCTCTGCAGCTGCAGCCACCTCTGAGGCTCCCAGGACAACAGCAGCCGCCAGTTAACTTGCTTCACACAGCAGGCGCGGGAAGCCATGGGCAACCAGGCAGTGGATCATCTGAGGCCTCGTCTGTGCCCCACCTACTGGCCCAATCCTCTGTTTCCTTAGCGGAACAGCCTGGATCCATGACCCAGAACCTTCTGAGCTCCCAACAGCCCCTTGGACTAGAGCGACCCATGCAAAATAATGTAGGGTCACAGCCTGCCAAGCCAGGATCTGTCCTGCAGTCTGGGCAGAGCCTGCCAGGGGCTGGGGTCATGCCTACAGTGGGTCAGCTTCGGGCACAACTCCAAGGAGTCCTGGCCAAAAACCCACAGCTGCGGCACTTGAGTCCTCAGCAGCAGCAGCAGCTCCAGGCGCTTCTCATGCAGCGGCAGCTACAGCAGAGTCAGGCAGCACGCCAGGCGCCACCCTACCAGGAGCCTGGGACCCAGCCCTCTCCCCTTCAAGGCCTTCTGGGCCGCCAGCCCCAACTTGGGGGCTTCCCTGGATCCCAGACAGGCCCTCTTCAGGAGCTAGGGGCCGGGCTTCGACCTCAGGGCCCACCCCGACTCCCTGCCCCACAAGGAGCCTTATCCACAGGACCAGTTCTTGGCCCTGTCCATCCCACACCTTCACCATCCAGCCCCCAAGAGCCAAAGAGACCTTCCTCCCAATTACCATCCCCTAGCTCCCAGCTCCCCTCAGAGGCCCAGCTCCCTACCACCCAGCCAGGAACCCCCAAGCCCCAGGGGCCACCCTTGGAGCTTCCTCCTGGGAGGGTCTCACCTGCTGCTGCCCAGCTTGCGGATACTTTCTTTGGCAAGGGACTGGGACCTTGGGACCCCCCAGACCACCTAGCGGAAGCCCAGAAACTGGAACAAAGCAGCCTGGTTCCTGGGCATCTGGACCAGGTGAATGGGCAGGTGGTACCTGAGCCACCACATCTCAGCATCAAGCAGGAGCCTCGGGAAGAGCCATGTGCCCTGGGAGCCCAGGCGGTGAAGAGGGAGGCCAACGGGGAGCCTGTAGGGGCACCAGGTACCAGCAACCACCTCCTGCTGGCAGGGCCCCGCTCAGAGGCTGGGCATCTGCTCTTGCAGAAGCTTCTACGAGCAAAGAATGTGCAACTCAGCACTGGGCGGGGGCCCGAGGGGCTGCGAGCTGAGATCAACGGGCACATTGACAGCAAGCTTGCTGGGCTGGAGCAGAAACTGCAGGGTACCCCCAGCACCAAGGAGGTGAGTACTCTAAACTAGAGTGGAACAGACAGTGTGGGGCCTGAAGTCCGGGGGCAGAGCGAGCAGGTCTGGGTGAAACCAGAGGTGAGGGCTCCGAGGGACATGGTGACCTTCACTGTGGGTTTGTCTCGCTTAGGATACAGCAGCAAGGAAGCCTTTGACACCGAAGCCCAAGCGGGTACAGAAGGCAAGCGACAGGTTGGTGAGCTCCCGAAAGAAGCTGCGGAAGGAGGACGGGGTCAGGGCCAGCGAGGCCTTGCTGAAACAGCTGAAACAGGTGACCCCCAGGAGCCAGTCCCCTGGTCCCAGCCCAGGATAGGGGGCAGCCTGGCCCCCAGCTGTGCAGTAGCAGAAAGGTACATGCTGCGGGATTCCAACCTTGTTGTCTTGCCCCTTCTAGGAGCTGTCCCTGCTGCCCCTCACGGAGCCTACCATCACCGCCAATTTTAGCCTCTTTGCTCCCTTTGGCAGCGGCTGCCCGATCAGTGGGCAGTGCCAGCTGAGGGGGGCCTTCGGAAGTGGGGTGCTGCCCACGGGCCCTGACTACTATTCCCAGCTGCTTACCAAGGTCAGAAAAATGGCAGTACCTTTTGGGGATGATGAGGTTCTTGGGGAGGTGGAGTTGGGGGTGGCAGACTTGAGCAAAGGGCTGATAGAGTGTGGGGCCAGGAGATTATGTCAGTCTCCCCATGCCGTCTTGCACACAACACCCCACCCCGCCCCCAGAATAACCTGAGTAACCCGCCGACACCACCCTCGTCGCTGCCCCCCACCCCACCCCCATCGGTGCAGCAGAAGATGGTTAATGGCGTCACTCCATCTGAAGAGCTGGGGGAGCACCCCAAGGATGCCGCCTCTGCCCGGGATACTGAAGGGGTGCTGAGGGGTAAGTCAGGAGCAGAGTGGGCTACCTCTCAGCCCCGTCTTGGTGGCTAGGGTCCTGTGGTAGGGTTTGAGGTAGGAGTGGGTTACATGTTGCTCTGTGTGCATTCACAACAGATGGTACTTGAAATAGGAAGGGCCTCTTCGGGACTGATTTGTTGGAGCCAGGAGGGGCTTCTGGAGTCCAGAGCAAAGGCAGCAGGACAGGGAGAGTATTAATGAAGCTTTTGTTTTTGAGGAATAACCAAATTTCCTTACCCACAGGGTATGAACTCCAGTCAGATCTGGATTTGAACTCTGGCTCCTGCATTCATTTAGCTGTGCTACTGCAGCCAAGTAACTTGATTGACTTGTGTGAGCCTCAATTTTCTCACTCTAAAATAAAAATAATACTTAATGGAGTTGTTGAAAGACTATAACCAATGAGTATACACTGCAGAGTACACTCTTTAGAAAGGCTCAATAAATTTATAGCTCGTGTACCCCAAACTGGTAGATGGGTGGATGAGTAGATAGTTGTCCTAGAACTGAGCTAGATCTTGTACCAGTTAGGCCTGAAACATGTGGGAGAAAGCACCAACAGCTCTGGCCTGGCCTGAGCCTGACATTTCTTCTCCTACCTACCCTGCAGATGCTTCAGAAGTGAAAAGTCTAGACCTGCTGGCCGCCTTGCCTACGCCCCCTCACAATCAGACTGAGGATGTCAGGTGTGGAAGGGGCAGAAATGGGGATGAGGAATTGGGGTGGGGGATCAGTTCCTCATTTTTCCTTGTTTTTTCTTTTGACCAATGGCAGATTTCAAATAGGGCTGTAACATCCACAAATCTCTAGATTTGGGAGGGGGGCACCTGCTGGGCTGTAGCAGTGAGTGTCTGCTTTTGGCCCACAGGATGGAGAGTGATGAGGACAGCGATTCTCCTGACAGCATCGTGCCAGCTTCATCCCCTGAGAGCATCCTAGGGGAGGAGGCCCCCCGTTTCCCTCAGCTGGGCTCAGGCCGGTGGGAGCAGGATGACCGGGCTCTCTCCCCTGTCATCCCCATCATTCCTCGGGCCAGCATTCCAGGTAGAGGTGACTCTGGGCCTGGACCCGGCCTGGCCTGGTCAGGCTGCATTGTCAGAGGTCAGGGAGTGAGGCAGCTGGAGTTTACACAGGTCCTTCTTTGTCGTTCAGTCTTCCCAGAGAGCAAACCTTATGGGGTCCTGGATATGGAGGCCCCCAGGAAGCTGCCTGCCCCAACTTGGGAAAAAGGCAAAGGAAGCGAGGTGTCAGTCATGCTGACGGTTTCTGCTGCCGCCGCCAAGGTATGTCCTGGGGATGCCTCAAGGGCCAGGAGGAGATGCCGGTCAGAAGGCAGTCCCAGGAGCTTCTCTGAATAAATCATTTAAACCTATGTATTGAGGACCTCCTGTGAATGAAAGCCTGAGCCGGAGTGAGGGATTGGAGAAAATGTAGCACAAGGGGCTGCCCTGCACTCAAGGAGCTCACAGTTCAGGGGTAAAGACACAAGTCAACAAATAGAGTGTGTATAATGTGAAAAGTGCTACCAAACATGTCCCCAGTCACATTGCATGGAATTCTGTTTTTTTTTTTTTTTAATGTTATCAGGATCTTGTGATCAAAGGAAATTGGAAATCTCAGTTAAAATAGCAAAACAGGTTTTTTATTACAAGACTCTGCATTTCCTTTACTTTGCTGATGTGTACTGGGACTTTCCAAGGGGTGGATGCAGTGTGTCATTTCCTAAGCCCAGTTGCTGCAGGTCTCTTTCTGTGCGTTCCTGTTAATGCCCACAGTGATTTGAGAAAGGCTGCCTTTAAAGGAGGTACATGAGAAGAAGTCAGATGGCACAGGAGTAGGCCTGACAGGCCACATAGGGAGCTGCGTTCTGGGTGTCGTGGTCCCCGCCAAGCTGGTGATAGTTCTCACTCTGCCACTCTGCCGACATGGCTGTCATATCCCCTTTCCTGCCCTGGCAGAACCTGAATGGCATGATGGTGGCAGTGGCAGAGCTGCTGAGCATGAAGATCCCCAATTCCTATGAGGTGCTGTTCCCAGAGAACCCTGCCCGGCCCGGCATCGAGCCTAAGAAGGGGGAGGGTGAGGGCCCTGGTGAGTATGGTGGAAAAACTCCTTGGGGCCCACGGGGAGTGATTGTGGTGGGAGTCTCTGACCCCCTTCCTTCCTGCAGGTGGGAAAGAAAAGAGTCTGGGAGGCAAGAGCCCAGAGGCTGGCCCTGATTGGCTGAAGCAGTTTGATGCTGTGTTGCCTGGCTATACACTCAAGAGTCAGTTAGACATCTTGAGTCTCCTCAAACAGGTGGGTCTGTTGGAGGAAGACAGGGTGGGTATCTGGCTAGGACAGAGAAGGCAGAGGGCTTTGGGGCGAGTGGAATCTGGGTGGGAGGAGAGAGGTGACTAGTTAATTGAGGAGCCAGCACTAACGGTACAGGGCTCTCCTATCTTCCCATAGGAGAGCCCTGCCCCAGAGCCCCCCACCCAGCACAGCTACACCTACAACGTCTCCAACCTGGATGTGCGACAGCTCTCGGCCCCACCTCCTGAAGAACCCTCCCCACCCCCTTCCCCTCTGGCACCCTCTCCTGCCAGCCCCCCTGCTGAACCCTTGGTTGAACTTCCAGCTGAACCCTCAGCTGAGCCACCGATCCCCTCGCCTCTGCCACTGGCCTCGTCCCCTGAATCTACCCGGCCCAAGCCCCGAGCCCGGCCTCCTGAGGAAGGTGAAGATTCCCGGCCCCCTCGCCTCAAGAAGTGGAAGGGGGTGCGCTGGAAGCGGCTCCGGCTGCTGCTGACTATCCAGAAGGGTGGTGTGCGGCAGGAGGATGAGCGGGAAGTGGCTGAGTTCATGGAACAGCTCGGCACAGCCTTGCGACCTGACAAGGTGCCTCGAGACATGCGGCGCTGCTGCTTCTGTCATGAGGAGGGAGATGGGGCCACGGATGGGCCTGCCCGCCTGCTGAACCTGGACTTGGACTTGTGGGTGCACCTCAACTGTGCCCTGTGGTCCACAGAGGTATATGAGACCCAGGGCGGGGCGCTGATGAACGTGGAGGTTGCCCTGCACCGAGGCCTGCTCACCAAGTGCTCCCTGTGCCAGCGCACCGGTGCCACCAGCAGCTGTAATCGAATGCGTTGCCCCAACGTCTACCATTTTGCCTGCGCCATCCGCGCCAAGTGCATGTTCTTCAAGGACAAGACCATGCTGTGTCCGATGCATAAGATCAAGGGGCCCTGTGAGCAGGAGCTGAGCTCTTTTGCTGTCTTCCGGAGGGTCTACATCGAGCGGGATGAGGTGAAGCAGATTGCCAGCATCATCCAGCGGGGAGAGCGGCTGCACATGTTCCGGGTGGGGGGCCTTGTGTTCCACGCCATTGGACAGCTGCTGCCGCACCAGATGGCTGACTTCCACAGTGCCACTGCCCTCTATCCAGTGGGCTATGAGGCCACGCGCATCTACTGGAGCCTCCGCACTAACAACCGGCGCTGCTGCTACCGCTGCTCCATCGGCGAGAACAACGGGCGGCCGGAGTTCGTGATCAAAGTCATGGAGCAGGGCCTGGAGGACATGGTCTTCACGGACGCCTCTCCCCAGGGTGAGCATGGGCCCCTCTCAGCCTGGCATAGCACTGGGTGAGCTTCTCCCAGAGTCAGCTTTCTGATGTTGAGATGAGACCTTCAGGCTCCTTATTGAGTGATCTTGTTCCCCCACTTCTGTCAGGTAGAGGTCTCTTGAAGTTCTCCAGAGAAAGTGTTTTGGCCTTTCTCAGCCACCTTGAATTCTCTATGTAATTGAAGATACTTTGCTTCTCTGACTACACATATTCCAGCTCCTTTTCTTAATCTCAGTGGATCTAAAGGATACGAGTCTGAGACCTTGTCGCCCAGTTTACCCAGTCTCATCCTAGGCTTGAGTTCCTTGCGGTTGCTTCCCCCTGGATAAAATCTTTTGATCTTGGTTTCGATATTAATGGTAAAGGTAACAGAATTAACATTGTAGTGAGCGTGTATTATGTGCCACAAACTGAGCTGAGTGGTTTATGTAGGTTATTTTGTTCATGCAACCCTTCAAGGTAAGTACTATTATTATGCCAAGTTTATACATAAACTTAGTAGTGGAGAGATTTAAGTAGTGGGTTAGCCAAAAAAATTCGTTCAGGTTTTAGAAAAAACCAGAACAAACTTTTTGACCAACCCAATATTTGCCTTAAGGGCCCCATAGCCAGTATTAGAACCTGAACCCAAGTCTTCTCACCCCAGAACATGCCTGGCGCTTGAGTTGCTCTGGCTCTTGTGTAAGGTCCATGGACTGTGTTGGGTGTCCTGGGCCCTGGGCTCATGTTTCTGTGTTACAGGGCTCTATGATGCCCCTCCAGGGTGGGAAAACTGGCTTGTTGAGGGAGACTGACTGGGAGGCCAAGAGGTTCCTGAAGAACCACACACCCTCTTGATAGCAAGATGGGAAGGCTACAGAAAACCACCCTAGCATCGGATGGGGGTTGGGGCTGAGATCAGTAAGCAGAAGTTGCCTCTGAGGGCTGTCGTCTTTCCTTGTCTCTTAGCCGTTTGGAATCGCATCATCGAGCCTGTGGCAGCCATGAGGAAAGAGGCCGACATGCTGCGGCTCTTCCCTGAGTACCTGAAAGGCGAGGAGCTCTTCGGGCTGACGGTGCACGCTGTGCTGCGCATAGCTGAATCAGTAAGGAAGGGCCGGGGGCCGGGGGCCCAGGGCCAGGAGGGCCCTGGGAATGTTGGTCTTGCCCCAGAAGTGCTCAGGCTGAAGTGAGTGTGACCTGTGCCCACAGCTGCCTGGAGTGGAAAGCTGTCAAAATTATTTATTCCGCTATGGACGCCACCCCCTGATGGAGCTACCGCTCATGATCAACCCCACTGGCTGTGCTCGGTCAGAGCCTAAAATCCTCACACACTACAAACGGTGAGCTTGTGGGGCTGAACCAAAGGTTGTGGGTATGCGGTTGGTAGGGCCCTCTGGCTAATTACGAGTGTTTGGGGTTACAGATCAGAGTTCCCTTGGAGAGACTGGGGGTTCACTCTAGCCTCCTGACTAGAGAGTATACAGGTATCACTAGGGTATCCTTTTCCTCCCCCAGCCTCTAAGGTGCTTGGGGTTGACCTGCAGTCTAGGGACACTTCTCTTGGGTGTTCTGGGAATGGCCCTTGGGGAGGTTCTGGGTAGACAGTGGTGAGGTCTTATGTATAAAGGACCAAGATGCCACCATCTTGTCCTGTGTTGCTTCCAGGGGGCCTGTGATTCTCCCCAACCTTAGACAGATACCCCATGAGTGCTAGATTCACCTTCCCGTCCCCAGGCTGAGTTGGTGTCAAAAATAAATAATTAGGAATATAATAGAAAAACTAATAAAACCTTACATTTGTATAGCACTTTATACTTTTTTTTTCAAAGCGTTTTCACATCCATTATCTCATTTGATCCTCACAACAACCTTATGAGGTAGGTAGGGCAGGTGGTATTATCCCCATTTACAGCTGAGAAAACTGAGACCCAGAAAGGTTAAGTGACTAGACAAAGGTCACAGCTGGGACCAGAGCCTTACCTCTTGACTTGTGGTTCACTGTTCTTGCTGTGTACCACAGTAGCCTGACCTTGGTCCCTGGGTAGAGGGAGGCAGAATCCACGAGAGGAGGGCTTTCTTGAAGGTCTTCGGTTGCTCTTTGGACTGTCGTAGAGCGTCAAACTCTACCCTCGCCAGCCCTGGTCCTTGATGCTCTACACCAGTGGTTTTCAAACTGTGTTTCAGAAAGCCCTGGAACACATAAACTGAGTGGGCAGAACTTGGCCCTCTTCATGCATAACTCCCCCCTTCCCCATACTGGATTCAACCAGAAGAGTTGCGTTTCCATCTAGTTTATGTATTGGTATTCCTGTAATGTTTTGTTAAAGTAAAAAACAAGATTTCTGCTATGTGAAAAAGAGTCAGTTTGAAAACCACTGCTCTGGGATGGGCAAGAACTTGGCTGATGCCCTAGGGTGGTGAGAAGGCATCCTGCTAGGCAGCAGCCATTCCCCTGCACTGAGCCATCTGCACAGAGCCCACTGGCAGAGAAAGGGAACAGTCTAAAGAAAGGAAAAGATACCACCATTTGGCTGTGAATTCAGGGCCAGTTTTAATTCAAATCCAGCCCAATGTGGTAGACATGGCCCCCGTTTGCAGAACTTTCAGCATGAGCAAGAGATAGGACTCAGAGATTTCAGCAAATCTGTGAGCTTAAATTCCAGTCCTGGGCTGCTTGGGGAAGACCTCCCAGAGGTCGTGAGCATGGCCTTGAGTCTGGTTTGGCAGGAGGGTGGTAGAAGGCAGGGAGATGGGAGAGCAGGCTCAGTGTAGGGGAATCAGTGCCCCTTCCCTCCCTTCACACCCCACCCCACCATCCTGGGCTCTCTCCGCCACACAGGGTGTTGGAAGGGTCCCCATAGCTAGTTGCTGCCTCGCCACAGCCAAGACTAAGATGCCTCTACTCCACTCGCAAGGCAGCACGTGCCCTCACTGGAGTGTTACACATCCCAGGGAGGAAGCGGGTGGTGTGTGCCTGGTCTGGGGTAGAGCTGTCTTGTCATGGACTGTGGACTGTATCACCTCCCAGGCCCCACACTCTGAACAGCACCAGCATGTCCAAGGCATATCAGAGCACCTTCACAGGCGAGACCAACACCCCGTACAGCAAGCAGTTTGTGCACTCCAAGTCATCTCAGTACCGGCGGCTCCGCACTGAGTGGAAGAACAATGTCTATCTGGCTCGCTCCCGTATCCAGGGCCTGGGTCTCTATGCAGCCAAGGACCTAGAAAAGCACACAATGGTCATTGAGTACATTGGCACCATCATTCGCAATGAGGTGGCCAACCGGCGGGAGAAAATCTATGAGGAGCAGGTATGGGCTGGCAGAGGGGCCATCATGGTACACTTAGCCAAGGGGCAGGGGCAGGATTGGGGCCAGAGGAGCAGGTGGAAAGCTGCTGTGGGAAGAGGAGGGGAGAGGCAGGAGAAAGGAAGAGTAAGAAATGAAGATGAGCTCACTGCCCAAGCCCACCACCTGACCCCGCCACCACCACTGCTGCCCTTCTCTGATATTCTTGCCCCTTCTGCAACCTCTGCCTTTCTAGAATCGAGGCATCTACATGTTTCGAATAAACAACGAACATGTCATTGATGCTACGTTGACCGGAGGCCCTGCCAGGTGAGAGGGATGAGCAAGAAGGGATTTAGGAGTTCCCTCAGGGTGGCACTCTGGGGGTGGGCCAACAAGGAACCAGCATCATCCAACCCAGTAGCGTGATATTTCTCTCTTTGTCCCACTGCCTAGGTACATTAACCATTCTTGTGCCCCTAACTGTGTGGCGGAAGTTGTGACATTTGACAAGGAGGACAAAATCATCATCATCTCCAGCCGGCGAATCCCCAAAGGAGAGGAGGTAAGAGGAAGCATCTCTCAGTGAGTGACAGAGCAGCTCTCTCTTCTTCAATCCCAAAGCCACTTCCCCCACTTCCTCTGGTGAACTGGCCTTGATTGTGCCCTCTTCTCTTTCCAGCTGACATATGACTATCAGTTTGATTTTGAGGACGATCAGCACAAGATCCCCTGCCACTGTGGAGCCTGGAATTGTCGGAAGTGGATGAACTAAGAAGCTTTGAGGCTACCAGGCAGGGGAGCCCCCCCACCCCCAACCTCTTCCCTGAAAGGGATGAGGGGGAGGAGAGGTAGCAGCCAGAGCCAGGACCCAGGGCTGGGGCTGCCGGCTGACCGGAGCCCCTGGAGCAGGAGGCTGGGGCAGAGGGCCCTAGGCCAAGCCCACCCTGGGCACCAGGGACGACCCTCTTCCCCGCCACCGGCCCCCAGGCTGGCATCTCTGCCCCCAGCTCCAGGAGGGGCCAGACAGAAGCAGCCATTGGGCATCTCAGGTTTGAGGGGGATACGGGCCGGGAACTACCCAGAGCATCTGGGAGGCAGCAGGGAGGGGGGAGGAGGATGTGTGGCCGGGCCTCACAGCCCTGCTGCTCCCACCGACCTCTCTGGCCCAACTCAAGGCTGCAAAGAGACTTGACTAAGCTTGACAATCCCAAAGGCCGGGTCCCACACCTGGCCCTGCCTGCCGGGTCCTGCCCCCACCCTCACCCCCATCCCCTTCCCTCTCGATCTGTCTCTGTCTCCCTCTTCTCCTCTGTGTTTCTGTCTCTCTATGGGTTGTGTTTCCTTGTTTTCCACTCTGACAAATGCAACATGAATGGGAAAGAGGCGCCCAGCTGCCCAGGAGGGCAAGCCAGGCAAGCCGGGCAAGGAGACCCCGCACCCACACCTACCTCATTTAAGTGTTGGATTTTTTGCTGTTTTGAAATGTGAGACCCTCTCCAAGCCCCCTACTGCCCCAACCCTCTCCCCCACCTCACTGCCCTCTTCTGAGTGGGTGGAAGGGGGGTAGGAGGAAGAAGAAAAAACAACAACAAAAAATCCATCTTTGTTTTTAATTACGGGCATGGGATGGTGGTTGAGGCTAATGATGATGAAGATTGGGGATAACTGGCCCCTAGTTGCTCTAGGACTTCCTTCTCCATCTGGACATGGGGGCAGGAGTGGGGTGCTCAACTTAGGACCAGAGTATCTCCCTCCTGTTTTCCCAACCCCATCATGAGCCCATTTGCCCTCCAGCCCCTGGATGGGGTGGGTGGGTGGTAGGGTGAGGGCTATCCCTGAGTGGCATGCCCATACCCAGTGAGGCAGGGTGTGGCCCGGAGCTCCCACTTTCCCTCAGTCACCAAACTGCTGCTGGTCTGGTGAGAAGGGGTGGTGATGTGGGGGTGGGGGAGCTTAGTGTCAGCGCGGGGAGGGTGGGGGGTATTTATCTATTTATACATGGGATTGTACATAGTCTTGTGGGGCATGGGGGAGCCGGCTGGAGGTGAGAACCCTCCCCTCTCCCCCCACCCCCGGGGAGAGCAAATGTAAAACTACTAATTTTTGTGCTTTATATATTCTATATAAATATATCTATTTTCTTTTTACAAAACCAGTTTATAAATGGTAGGGGGGTGTGGGGCGGATACATGGAGCTCCCCTTGTGGGGGAGCCCCCTCCATTACCCAACCTACCGCCCTTTTCCTCACCCCCTCCTCCCCACCCCCTGGCTGTGACTGCTGTAAGGTGGGGGTATAGAGGTTGGGCAATTCCCACCCCCTTTTGTATAGTTGGACTATGTTATAACGCACAAAAGTGAGCTGGCCCCAGGGGGAGCCAGAGGGTAATGGGTTCCCCTGCCTCCCTTTCCTTCCCCTTTCTGCCCAAGCTTGTGCTGCAGTTGAACCTCTTCCTGGGGGTAGGGGTAGGTCAGGGGGTGGGTGAGGCCCCAGACCCCTCTCTGGTAGGGAGCCATGGGGATGAAGATGAAGCTTATATGCAGTTCTCTCCTAGGGGCTGTGGGCAAAGGGCATTTTGTAATTAATATTTTCAAGAATCAAATGTCTGGAGTGTGGGGGTGGGCTTGGTGGTGGTGTATGGGTGGGCCTGCTGGAGGGGGAGCACGGTCGCTGTTGTGATTTTAGGTTTGTTTTTGTTTGTTTTTGAATTTGGGGGGTTGCGGATTGATGGGGGTAGGGAAATTTTTTTTTTAAGCTGCTTCCTCAACTGTTTCAAGCTGCAAATGTTTAAGAGAATAACATCCCCCACCCCCACAGAAACCACTGTAATGAAATCACAGTGGGGAGACTGGGCTTCTGCCCCCAAAGCCATTGGATGTTCCTTTTCCAAGAGCAAAAGGTCTAGGTTACAGGGAAGGGGAGATTGGCTCCTGCGAGTCAGGCTCTGATTGGGGCTTGGGCCCTGGGATTGGGAAAAGGGGATGGGGCAGACTTTGTAAGCATATGCTAGGTATCTGATAGTCCTGTAGAATTTAGTGAAGAAACCTTATACAGTTTTTAATTTTTATATAAACTAACTCAGACCCAAGCTACAAGGTTGGAATTTTGGTTGTTGGTTTTTTTTTTTTTTAAGTACCCCGCCTGTATAATTGCATCAGAATTCCCTCCCTCCCCCTCGCCCCCCCATGTTTGTACTTTGGGTTGGTTTACACTTGCACATACTCAATTTTCAGTTTTTTCCCATTTATGGTCTTCTCCCCTCACCTCCAGGACCCTCCCCCTTTTTAAAAAATAAATCTCTGACAAGTGTGAATCCCGTGAAGACTTTATTTTGTGTTGTGTGTATCCTGTACAGCAAGGTTGGTCCTTCGTAACAACGGATGAAATGATTCCCTTTTTTAAAGCGCCCTCTCTCCCTCCACCCCCAGCGCCCCTGTCCTTGGCATGTTTTGTATCAGCGATCATTCTGAACTGTACATAATTTATGTTGCAAGAGGCAAAGGGCAAGTTTTGGATTTTGCTTCTTCCAAGTTTGTTTTTAAACGACAAATAAAAAAAAGAACATTTTAAATACAAGCGACTCCGTCCCGTCACCCTCGCCGTCGGTGGGATCAGTGAGGTCTGACAGGAGCCGGGGAGGGCGGTTTCTGAGGCGAGGACACACCGGAAGGGTGAGCTCCCCGCTTTCCACCCTTGGCTTGCGTAGGTTCTGACGTAGGCGGAAGTGCGTTGCGGTACCGGATGTGAGGCGGGGCCTTCTCCGCCCCCTTGCCCCGGGCCAGCTTCCTAAAGCGAAAGAACCCAGCCGGCGTCTCTCGCGATGGAGGCGGTGAGGAGCGCGGGAAGGTGGCGGGGGGCAGGGGTGCGCTGTGGAGCCCGAGACCCCAGTCAGGGGACTGGGGAACCGGGACCGGCGCTGGTGCCCAGTCAACGAGAAGCAGGGTGTCTGTCCTATACCGTGACCCTGCCCCTCCGCTCTTTCGCTGAGCGCATCTCAAAGACTGGGCCGCGCCGGTGCCTGCCTTCGGTCCACGGTACTTTAAGCCCGAGCGGGCAATGACTCCTGGCACTCCCTGATCACTCCCTGGCGATCTCGGACCTCCTCCTCATTTAGCACCTCAAGCCCTTCAGAGGTTTGCCTGAGAGAGAAGGGTCGTGAGCCAGCTTCCTTAGGTGAAGCAGGGGGTTCCGAGGGACCCCCGCTTGCAGGTAGCACCAGGTCCCCAGTTGTCCGAGTGTGAGCCATAGAATCTTTGACAGGAGGGACGTCTGAAAGACTTTTATACTGCTTTGAGGTGTTCAGCAAGATAACTTAGCCTTAACAAGACTGAAAAGTGGGGTTTCCCTGAAGGAGGGAATCTTACAGTGTTAGAGGCCACTGTGTCCCTGATCTAGTTTAGGTCGTGCCCTGCTCTGCGATTCTAAGCAGGTGTGTTGGCCTAGCTCCTTCTTGGGTAGCAGGCGTTGACAGATTGTGGCAGGTCCCTGTCATCCTCCCAGAGTTGCTGCAGGTCCCCTACTCTCTGTACCTCTCCTCACTCTCAGGAGCCTTGGTCTGGCACTCTGGAACCCTTCCCATTCTCTTCCTTCCTTCCATGTATTCTTTGTCAAACAGAGTAGCTCTTCCTCTCCTGGTTTTTATCATCTCCTACTATAGTTGTATGACGACTGCCGGTTCACCTTTCTCTCCATCAGTTACATGCCCAGAGTGATTCCCTTATTGTACTCTTTCTCTGCCTGCAGAGAGGTCATGTCCCTCAGGTTATAAAGAAGAATCTAAACCAAAGTAAAATGATTTGCAACTGGTCACCCAGGCAAGGGAGTAAGTTCTTATAGATTAGGAGAATTCTGAGCAAAAATAAAAGGTCTTATTCCATTAAATTCAAAATGACATTATTTTTTACTTATAAATTATTATGGCTTACAAAGCATTTTTATATGGATCTTCTAATTTAGCCATCACATTTTATGTACTGGATTAGAAGTTTCTTGGAACAGAAATTGTTCTAAAAAGGAAAAAAAAAAAAAAAAAAAAACGGAGTACACTGGCAGTCCAGTGGTTAGGACTCAGCCTTTTCACTGCTAGAGCCTGGGTTCAATTGCTAGTGGGGGGATTAAGATACCACAGGCCACGTGGTGCATCTGATAAATAAACGAAGAAAAAAGAAAAACCCCCCGCTTTGAAAATGCTTAGCCTAACTGCAGTGGAGGCAAGGGCAAGTCAGTGACAGCTGTTATTTAAGGTAGACTGTAGTGAATGCTATCATTAAGATGCAAAAACAGGACTGTGGCAGCATAGGGGAAGGAGAAATTACTGACAGCCCGTGAGAGGGCATTGCAGGTTGAGAGAACAGTGTGAGCAAGGGCATAGAAACGGGTGCGTAGCGATTAATTGGGGGTCAGCCAGTGGCTGATGTTGCTGGAGCTTTGGATTTTGGTCATAGTTGGAGAAAAGACTGGGAAAGTAGGTTGAGGTCAGGTTGAAGATATTTCGTACCACATTAAGTTTGAACTTTGTTTTGTAATAAGGGGACCCATGGAAGATTTGGGGCTTCCCAGGTGGTGCTAGTGGTAAAGAACTTGCCTGCCTATGCAGGAGACACAAGAGACACAGGTTCAATCCTTGGTCAGAAAGATCCCCTGGAATAGTAATGACAACCACACCAGTATTCTTGCCTGGAAAATTCCATGGACAGAGGAGCCTACAGTCCATGGGATTGCAAAGAGCCAGACATGACAGTGCGCACGCACGCGCGCACACACACACACACACACACACACACACAAGATTTATGAGCAAGGTAGTAAGTGTACTTTAAGAATATTCCTAATGACTTTCTGTAAATGGAGAAGCCACTTCAGAAAGTAGTGAGTTCTTGGTTCCTGGAGTTGAAAGTCCCTTCCAAACCTGAGATGCCTGGGGAGAGAACTTAGTAACAGCATGAAAGACGAATTGAAGAGGAAATAGATTTCCTCTTCTCTTAAACTGTCAGGGATAACAGTTTAGAGAATGTTGCAGAAATGTGATGTAAGAGGCTATGTTAAAACTATGAGAGTGGAAAGGAGCGAGATGGATTTGAGGCATTTATTTCTAACATAGCAGCTTAGTTGATAGATATTAAGGACAAGTTTAGGTCACGCCGTGCTCTATCATTCTAAGCAGGCATGTTGGGATAGCTCATTTTTGTGGAAATCAAGACCACAGTTCAGGCAACTGGGAAGAGAGCAATGCAAAAGCGGAGGTGGGAACAACAGTTAAGAATAATAGGATTGGAGGGACAGATGTGGTTCTCTTGTATTGAAGCATTTGAGGAGTCTCTGACATCTATGGTGATCCAGCAAACAACTGGAAAGGTGGATCAGGAGTTTGGAAGAAACTATGAGTCTTGCAGCAGATATAGGGTGTGTCTCTGTGAATAATATTTTGTACTTATGTAGTACAGCAGTCTCAAGTCCCCTGTGTTATTAAATGTAGAGAGAGTAGACATAGTTGCCCCACTCCTCTATGGAGAAACAGGCAGAAAGAAAGTCATATTCAATTGTATCTGACTCTTATGTAGGTATCTATGTCTCTGTTTAGCTGTACATCTCTTTTCTCTCTCTATAATGCAGTCTTAGATCTCTCTGTCCATATCAGTGTGAATCATTACCAGTTTGAGTGTTAAAAAGCAAAACACTTGAGAATTATATGCAAACCCACATGCTAGGTGATGTGAGAGAATACAAAGAAGTGTAAGATAGTTTCAGGCTTCCAGGAATTTATAGTCTGCTCAAATAGATAATGAACAAAATAACTGTAGCACAGTGAAGTAAGTATCATATGGTGGGTACAATAATTTCTACAGAAGTCACTGTTTCTGCTTCTTTGTATAGGTCTTTGTGAGACTGCTTTACTGCTAAACAGTCCTCTCTCCCACTTATAAATGATGAGGCTGTTGTTCCGATAGCTATGCCAAAATGCCAGGCCATGAT